AAATGCTAGGGATCAACGCAAACTTTGTATTATGCATTTAAAAATGAAGAAAAATACAAATTATAAAATACAAAATCAAGGTGGATTCATAAACCGCAAGTACAGGACTTGATTATTTTATAAAATTTAAACATCCTTCACTGCGCGAAATGTTGAGTTAGATAGACCGACGGAAACGGGGTATTTTTTCGCGCCATTCGTATATTTCTCGCCTTTTTTTGGGGACCTTTTCTGCCTAGCTTTCATTGTCGTTTTTCGTGTCGTCCTTTTTTCCTCATCGGTTTTGTTGCTATTTTTTCGATCGCTTTGGACTTTTTTTTACTCCATTGTCATGTAATTTTTTGTCGGACGATTCGTGTTTTTTTGGCATTTTTTTTTTAGTTCTCTCTTTTTCGCCTTTTTTAGTCCCTTTTTTCGCATTTTAGTCGGATATTTGTTCGCTTATTTTTTACGATCTTTTTGACACTTTTAAGCCTTCTTTTCCCTTTTTTTTTGGTTTTTGACACCTTTTTTGGACAGTTTGTCGTTTTTTCTCTCTTCGCCTGTTTTGATCGTATTTTATTTAGTTATTCGTTTTTTACGCTCGTTTTTGACTTTTTTCGTCTGGTTCTTGTCACCCTTTCTTTAAATTTTTTTGTCGTATATTTTCCGCTTGTTAACCCATCTTTGACACAAGTACAACGAATTCAAAATAACATTTACTTAAAAAAAAGCTTGAGTTTTTTTTGTGAATTGGAATAAATGGTTTGGATCGAGGGTATATTGTATTGGAAATGGTAATTCTGTCTAAAGCGGATCAGAAACACTAGTTGAAATGGTGTTTGAGGATGAAATGTAACCAAAGATGAGAAAATCCTACTTAAAAAATTATGGTTATTATCTATTTGGTTTAGTCGAAAAGACAAGCTTTGAAAATTTCTGGTTGTTGCTACATAGTTATAATCACTTTTATTTTAGAAAACTTTTATTTCGTTGAAAGTAGTGGTAATGAAGCGAAAAAAGGTGACTTTCAGCGCTGGATTATATATGAGGCGCATGAGGCGCGCGCCTCAGGGCCCGGGGAGACAAGGGCCCGGGGAGACATGGGCCCGGCAGCAAGCGAACAACTCATAACTTAAGTTCAAATTAATGCTTAATAACTTAGGTTCGCTAATTCATTATTTTAGGTTGTTTTTGGTTTTTGTTGAGAGTTTTGTGTTTATTTTATATTACAGGAAAGACAGGAAATATTTTTTTGTTGTTTTTATGAAAAATATATTTTATTCTGATATTATATTTAGTTTGTTGTTTTTTACACGTAAGTCATGTTAAAAAATTTGACAACAATCGACCCAGTAGTTTCGGAGATTATCTGTCTAATAAAAATCCGTGACGGCAGATAGACAGACAGACAGAAGGAAAAGAGAGACCTATTTCTTCGTATTCTAGGGGTTATGAAAGGTCGAGAAAACGTAAGAGTAGAGAGTCGATCGACGGACAATACTTCTTTCGCTTACGCTCGGAAAGTAAAAATTAAAACTAATGTCAAGATGAAAGGGGCCAGGGGCCCAGTATTTTTTGCGCCTCAGGCCCGAAGATTCTTTGATCCGGCCCTGGTGACTTTTCAATTCGTAATCACACCTAGGGGCGGAGCTTATTTGCGAAATCGGTATTTTTCTATAACAATTTACGATTACACCAATTTAAACTTTATGGTTGGGAAACAAGGATTACGTGTATTAAAAAAAAAGCAAAATATTACCCCCGCCCACACGCCGTCTCTCAATTCTGATGAATTTTTCATTCGTTGTCAGACCGAGGGGCGGAGCGTAATAGTAAAATCCACATTGACCTACTTTTGAATCCTTTTTCACCTTTGTTTGGCCCCCTTTTCGTCGGAAATTTTTCGCCTTTTTTTGTTGGATTTTCTTCATTCGCCTTTTTTTGTTGACTTTTTGTCATTTGTCTTTGCGTGTTTTTTGGCCTCTTTAATTTTTAATTACCCTTTTTTGGTGCACTGTTCACTTTTTGATTGTGTTTTTTTATTTTTTTTTGTCGTATGTTTTCCGCTTATTTGCCTCATTTTTACTTTCAATTTTTCTTCGCGATTGAATCAAGAAAAAGTCAAATTTCAATTTTTTTTACTCACGAATTCGCATTGGACGACTAGTTACTTTTATGTTTTCTCGACGTTTCGTGACCCAAGAGTACGAAAAAATAGGTCTCCTGTTTCCGTATGTCTACCATATATTCGGATTTGTATTAGCTAGATAAATTTATGAAACTACTGCACCGATTGTTTAAAAATTTTGTATATGTATTAGGAATATCACGAATATCCAAAATTTGGCGAATTGTCTCACCAACAATAGAATGACACCATCTCCAACATTTATATAGTTTTTGACACATGATTAATAAACAGTCTTTCAAATTTAATACCTTTATTCACAAAGTTGACATTTTTTAACGATTTTAAAATTGGACGTTTTTATTTGACAAATTGTTATCACGTATAATCACCAAAGAAAGAAAAAAGACAATGCCAGTCACAATGTAACAAAAAAAAGTAGCTCATGAGGGAATCGAACCTGGGATCTGAGTTATTCTGTCGTTATATTGCTATAAAACGCAATTACAATTTTGATTTTTTTGCGAAAATATGGATTCTGAAGGTAAAAAATCAAGTCGGATTCATAAACCACAAGTACAGAAATATGATGCTTTATAAAATTTACCATCCAAAATTTGGCTAATTGTCCCCACCAACAATAGAATGACGCCATCTCCAAAATTTACATTGGTAAAAATGATGTATTTGAATTTTATAAAATGAAATATTGCTGCACCTGTGGTTTATAAATCTGTGTTGAATTTTTACCCGAGATATCCAAATTTTTAGGAAAAAAAATCATAATTGTTGAACATTTTGCAATTTAACTTTGAAATTACAAAACCAAATGCTTTGAAACCTTACAAAGTTTTAAAGTTATCGTGAGCATGGTAAATCGCTAATTGACATATTCTAGTGTATGAGACAAAAACAAAACCAGAAGCATACCACATGACGTATGTTTTGACGTTTTTTTTTCTTCTTAATATACAACAAGAGAGGTAAATTCCCCCCCCCCCCCCCCCTCATCTAAATTGTGATGACTTTTTTCATTCATCGTGCTACAGGAAACTACATGTTTTTTAGTATCATGTTGTTGAAAGAAAAATATATAGATGTTAAGATAAAAAAGTTAAAACGTACCCCCGCCCACCCGCCCCAACCTCAATTGTCATGAATTGTTGTTGTCCGACCGAGGGGCGGAGCTTAATTGTAAAATCGATATTTTTCAACAAAAATTTACGATTTTAGATATCTTGTAGTGGCAGAATATAAGCCCCGCCCATCCGCTGCCATTCAATTGCAATGATTTTTTTTTTCAGTTAAGCTTCGCTTCTAATCTCACGACGAATAAAAAAAAACACCAGAATTGAGATAGGGGTGGGTGGGCGGGGTTTATATTTTGCTTTTTCTCTTAGTATACGTAAAGAGGAGGCGGAGAAGCCTAATATTTCTTGCTCCACTCATAAAGTGCGGGCACAATGCATCAGATGAAGACAGAAACAAGAACTTACCAGATGTCACAATTGGTACTGTTTTACAACATCTTTACTGTAGGGATACCGTGTTGAAATTCAGATAGGATATTGATCATAATCGTTTCAGTTATTGCAATAAATTAATGCTTGTTATTATTTTTATCCAATAAATTTTAATTTTTCAAACTCATTCAGATCTGTGCGCAAGAACAACTTTTGTTTAAAAAATTTAACTCATTTACAGAAATTATTTCAATAACATTTTTACCCTGTTAAAAATCACTTAAATTACGTCCACTTTACAAATAACTGACTTTTTTTTTTATTAAGTCAAATATTTTAAAATAAAAATTTCATATTCAGGTAGTTTTAAAGATCCTAGATCTATGATAATGATTACAGATCTTAAAAACATTTTTTTTGTAGAACCAATATACTGTGTTGTGAAAAAAATGTCAAAAATGGACTCTACGGAGCGACATTTTCATGTTGTGGGCACCTAAATTCTACGTTAAAGCAAATTCAAATGTGTGTAAATCTGTAAAAGTATGTATACAGATATTCTAATAAATAAAATACAACTTTTTGTGTAACGAAATGCCTGGATATTTTAATTCTATCTGATAAAAAAATTCATTCTGCAGTGAGAGGACACCATACAAGTACGGGTCCACGGTGGTGTAGCAGTCAATAGTCGATGTTTCCGTCGTCGCGCGAAAGACTAGTGTTCGATTCGCGTACACGGCTTGTCTTTTTTATTTTAATTAAATTTCAAGTAATTACTCTTTATTGTTCTACTATCCTTAAGTATAAGCCGGACACATTTTATAATCACACTGTATATCGTACTGCACACTACAGTGAACAAAATAAAGGCTTCAAATTTTTTTGTGTAATTGAAAGTTTTAAAACTTCTGTTTTATTTACAAAAAATTATCAGTCATTATTAACCAAAGTACTATCACGATTATATTAACTTACAAGGTTCAATAGTGTCTTCCAAAGGGGTAACATTTCTACGAACGCAACACACGAGTTTCATGTTAAAAAATAGGTACAGCACGCACACTAAACAAGTGATAACATACTTTTAAAACGCGATAGAGCTAATCCAACAGATTAAATAATGCAGTTCATAGATGCTGTCAACATTGTCTGCTATTATCTTAAAAATAAAATATACCTACCATTTCATAAAATATGTAGTTATTATTGAAGTAGGAGAACGAATTACTCTGTCGGCACGTTTAGTGATAAGGAAGATAGGTAGCTCTTAAACTCCATAAAGGTAATCCATATAATAATTGTTACAGATTTAAAAATGTGAAAGTAATCGTCCAAAAAAATTCCTCGTGAAACAATTAGACACTTGATACTTCTATAAACATTTGTATACAATTCAACATGATTAAACTATTGTTATATTTTAGGATCTACAGCAAATCGCATCCGAAAACAATAACGTACATCTATTAGAACTAGGTAAGTTTGTTTTTTTTAAGATCCTTCGCTCAATTGATTGATCAATTTAGATGTACGTGACTTCGATCAATATGACGCCTTCTCGAAAAAAGTGGAAAGCATAGTTGGACAGGACGGTCTAAATGTTCTTTTTAATAACGCAGGAGTTTCTTCCAAATTCACAAGAATCCAACTCGTCAAACACGAACAAATGTTAGAAGCTTTTAAAGTAAACACCATCGCACCAGTTATGCTTACAAAGGTTAGTTTCATACAGTCACAAAACTATTTATTGTACAGACAAAATTTTAAACAGGCCTTATTCCCCCTTCTGAAACGAGCTTCCGAAAAAAATCCTTCCAAGCCTGTAGGAGCAGAAAGAGCCATCATCGTAAATACAACGTCAGTTCTTGGGTCAATCGCGTTAAACAGCGACGGTGGTTTATACCCATACAGGTGTTCAAAGGTGACCATTAAACTATAAACTATGAAATAAAAAAGTCATTTGTGGTTTACAGTCGGCTTTGAATATGGCAACTAAGTCGTTGAGTGTGGACTTTCAAAAGGATGGAATTTTGGTTATAGGACTTCATCCAGGGTGGGTGAAAACCGATATGGGCGGCTCAAAGGCTCCGCTAGATGTGGATACGAGTATTACTGGTATTCTACAAGTTCTTAAAAATGTGAACGAATCGCATAATGGTGGTGTTTATCAACATGATGGGCAACGGCTGGAGTGGTAGATGAGGAATAAACATACACCAGAACAGTAGTGTGTAGATCTTGATAACCAGAAAAGAACAAATATTTTTAAATATAAAGACAAGACTTAACCGTATTTTTTTTCCTAGGTTAAAGTAACAAGTACTAGAGAATCACGGACAAATGCAGTGATCACGTGAAAGTCACATGTTTTTCATAAGTCCAATAAGTGTTAAGTATTGAAACGTGATGTGCTACGTTTTAAGCTTCTCAATACTTCAGCATTATGTACTTCAAAATTCGTTCAACTGAAAAACAATAAGCGAATGTAAGATATTCGTATAAGTGCTATTAAAGTTGTACATAATTTATTATTTAGTTGTTTTTTTAACTAAAAATTCTGTTAAAGACAGATAATTGAATAATAGAAACACCACCAGCACATCTGAAACTTTTGACCTGACAAAGATAAGAGAAATCTTACCATTAGGTTGTGGTGACCAAATTTGAAATTAAAATTCTGCGCTAAAGATGTTTAACAGCGGCGCGAAATCACATTTGAACAATTTGAATTTGAAAAAAAATCAATCAAAAAAGCGTTAAACATAGGCAACCATGTGCACGTTAGCGCTTTTTGGGTAGTGAGTAGTCCTGCTGGGGATTTTTAGTTAGAGGGTTGGTAGAGAGGTGAAAGCGTCACTTTTGGTGTTTGTTGTGAGTGTAACCACGTGGTGAGTTAGCTTGGTTTGTTTGTTCGTTTGGTAGTTAATAAAAGGGAGGAAGCCTTTGTTTAACGACAATTAATCCCAACGACGACGATAACGCCCACAGTTTCCCCAACACGCGCAACTATTTCTCGCGGCTTTCTAATCGGAAAACATGTGAATTTTTGACCGACGCTAACACGTGTAAATTTGATCCATTATTTGTAAATTCACAGTTCAGGTTAGGATTTTAATCGTTAACTGGTTCTAACACAATTTAACAGATATTAGATTTGTTTAGACAAACACTGCTAGGAGATTTCATGAAATTCACTAAGTCAGGATTCGTTTGATTTTGTTTGTCCAATTACGAATAACGTTTCTGGATGCTAATACTTCAGTGTTACATTCTAACACTTTTTAATTCTTCACATAAGATTGCTAATAGTTCATTTACGGCAATTAAATTAACAAAATTCATAATATCGTGAACTGACGGGGGATTCAAGATTTCTCTCCTTATAGACAGTTATCATCATCAAATCATCGAGACATTTTATTTCTCTCACCGATGAGTTTTCCTCGCAACACCTGATGCATTTGTGTTTATTTATCATGTGTTTTGTTTCGGATAAACAGTTCACGATATAAACCCTCAAAACAAATTGTTTTAAGTAACCAATCACTTGGATCATGACATAATGTAACATCATATAAATTCTTTGTTTGAATCGTTGATAAAGTGTGGCAAATATTAATCTCATCTAAATTTGTACCTCTGCAATTTTCACCTCATACAATATTTCTGTATCTCACAATTTTAACTTCAGTAATTTTTTTTGTTGTATAATTTAAATTGAATGTAAACTTTCATGACCTGCAGTTTCTAACCTCACGTAATATTTTATCTTCACAACTTTATTTCACACCAGATCTTTTGTTTTTATAAATCTTTGCTAGTTTTTTTTTATGTAAATATTTTATTGATGAATGCTTCCATCATATAAATTATCTGATGTCCAATTTTAATCTCAAATAAGAATTATTTGTTGTTTAAAATTTCACAAGATTGTATGGCAAATTTAAAAGTTGACTATTGCTCTTTTTTGTAACTTTATTCACTTGTCGTTAATATCAGTCATAAGAATTGAACATATAAATGGAATTGAGGTTAAACAACAAAGAAACACGTGGTGGAGGCGGAGTGCGCGGTTCCTGGTCGAGCTGGCGGGATTTATCGCGCCATCGCACAAAGATGCAGGTTAGAATAAAATTTAGGAGCGATCGAGATGACGTAACGCTGTCGACTTGGCCCAATAGTCGAGATCCAACTGCGAGTTTGCGACCGTAACGGCCTGCTCGTCTAGGCTTCCTTATAGGGTGCTGGGCGCCGGTGCTTGCAATAGATAGAACCACCTTCGTGGGTAGGAGAACAGGCACGACCAGGAGCCCCAAACTCCGCTTGTGCTACAACGCCCCCTATAGGTATTTTTGCTGTGCTCTAGAATAAAACTGACTGTCGATCGCCGATTTTAATCACCCGTGCAACCTAACAATATGATTCTTTCTTGGAATGGTGCGGCTACAAACACATGATAGGTGTTACAGTAGTATTTAAGAGGTTCAGCATAGTAAGATTGTTGGTGTATAGTTACCAACAATGTAATTAGGAGTGTCAAGAAGAGGGAACATAAAAAGTGATGCGATAGTGATGGGGATTATGTTCGTAATATTAAAGAAAAAGAAGTAGAAGTAATGGAACGAGAAGTAAATTCAGGAAAGACTATCGTAGTATAGATAACAATAAATTTGCAAGTTGAAGACATGAATATGAGATAAGAAATATTGGAAAATGGCCACCAGCTGGAAAAATATTAAGACAAAAATTGATAAACGAGGAAAAATTTGTACTAGAAGAAATAAAGTAGTCCAAGAGCTATAAGGTTATATGACCATCGTAAACGTAGTTGACCGCAAGTAAATACCCCCTTTGTGTGGTTATTAAGCACTTCATTTGAAAGCCGATTAACGAAGTGGTGGATTTAGATATTTTGTGAAAGCCGTCCCTGAACGAAACGACAACAGCCATTGAGCTGCAGCGGACACGTTATTTACGACCCTAAAAACTTTTCTGTTGTAAACAACTTAACTTTCGACACAATGGAATAATTTTATGATGGCCATATTACCTTATAGCTCTTGGACTACTTTACAATTATTAAGCAAAAATTTGAAAAGTTATTTGGACATAATTTTTAGTGTATTTTGGCAATGGTCGCTGGAAGTACTCATTTTAAAAAATTAGTTAACCACGAAGATTTGCTTATTATTGACGTTGTCTAGTTTCTAAATTGAAAGTAAAATACCATATTATTTAAATTTATTGTTAATAACTGTTGTGGTGACCGAATTTGAATCAAATTTTCGTGCTGAATTTAATTAACAGCGACGCGAAATCACATTTGAATAAAAAATGACTTTGAGAAAAAAAAATTCAAAGCAAAAATCGTTAAACATAGGCAACCGGGTGCACGGTAACGCTTGTTGGATAGGGGGATAGTTGGTAGCGCTATGGTATTTTTGGTTAGAGGCTGGGTAGAGGAGAGCGGCATGTTGAAAGTATGGGAAAGGTTATTACGTTTTTGTTCGGTGTAATGGACGCATGGTGAAAAGACGCTGTAAGTAGCTAGGTTAAATTAGCTGGTTTGGTAGTTAATAAAAGGGAAGAAGCCTTTGTTTAACGGCAATCAATCGTAACGCCGACGGCGCCCAGTTTCCCCAATCCGCGCGGCTAATTCTTGTGGCTTTTTAATCAGAAAAGTGTTAATTTTCGGGACCAACGCGGACCACGTGGTATAAATTTGTTTTATTGTTTGTAAATTCACCAATCAAATTAGTTTTTTTAATCGTCAGCTAGTGCTAACACAATTTAACAATCAGGATTATTTAAATAAACCACTTACTAGGAGATTTCATGAAATTCATTTAGTCAGGATAATAATTCTTTGTATAACAAATTACGATGGAAGTTTCTGGATGCATTTACGTAAGTGTTACATTATAACACTTCTTAATTCTTCACACAAGATTGCTACATTTACGGCAGTTAAATTAACAAAATTCATACCGCGAACTGACGGGGGGTTAAAATAATTTCTTCGCTTAGGCAGTTATCATCGTTATTATCATCGTATCATGATTAAATCACTGAGGCATGTCTTCGCCAAGCTAAAGATTGATTACATCACTGAGGCATGTCCTCGTCATGCTAAAGATTGACTACATCACTGAGGCATATCCTCGCCACACTAAAGATTGATTACATTATTGAGGCATGTCCTCCCCACGTTAAAGATTGATTACGTCACTGAGGCATGTACTCGCAACGCTAAAGATTGATTACATCACGGAGATGCTTTTTCCTAGTAACGTTAAAATTTACATCATCGAGCCATTTCTTCGCAACGCCAAAATTTACATCACCGAGACGCTTTTTCCTCGCAACGATGATTGGATATTTTTGTGTTTATTTACCATATGTTTTGTTGGGGTAACCAGTTCGCGGTATTTTAAACTCTCAAAGTAAATTGTTTTTAAGTAACCGATCACTTGGATCATAATTTAATTTAACAAGGGTTTACATTATGTAGCAAGTAATAATCTCATGTAAATTTTGTTAACTTTGCAATTTTTACCTCATACAATATTTCTCTATCTCACAATTTTAACGTCAGTAATTTTCTTTGTTGTATAATTTTAATTGAACGTAAATTTCATGCTCTATAGTTTTAACCTCACATATTTTTTTTGCACAAGTTTATTTCACCCCAGATCTTTTGTTCTTATAAATCTTTACTCGTTTTGTTTTGAAAATATTTTGTTGATGAATGTTTCCATCGTGTAAATTATTTGATGTCCAATTTTAATCCCACATCAGAATTATTTGTTGTTTAAAATTTCACAAGATTGTATGGCGAATTTAACTGTTGTTTATTGCACTTTGAAACTTTAACACTCGTTTAGTTGTTGTTAATATCAGAGTTATAAGAGATTGAACATTTAAAATTGAATTGAGGTTAAATAACACAGAAAACATGGCAGAAGCGAAGTGCGGTTCCTAATCAAGCTGGCGAGATTTATGGCGTCAGCTGCACAAAGGACACAGGTTTGGATAGATTCAGGGACGCTAGCGCTGTCGACTTGGCCCAATAGTCGAGACCCAACTGCAGATCTGCGATCGTAACGGCCTACTCGTAATGGAGATGTGCTTTGCGGCAGTGCTTTGCGATAGATAGAATCATCGTCGAGGGGGGAGAACAGCCTCGACCGGTAGCCCCAAAATCCGCTTGTGCTAGATCGCCCCATGGGTATTTGTGTTGTGCTCTTGTTAACTGTTATAACTTTAAATTTGACGTCACACGCCCGTAATAACTTGTGTATTTGTATCCAATTACTTTAATTCAAATTTTGTTTTGTTTATATTAAATTTGTAATATTCAAATTTTTGCATTGATTCAAAACGTAAACGTAGGATTTTTCACTTGTTTGGTTTCCCGTATGTGTATGTCTATCAATTCGCGATTGTCTTTCCTTTCATATTTTTATGTGTATCATTTGGGATGTATTATATGTTAGTGAATGCGAGATGGCAAGTCCGTGTCGCCTTCGCTCGCAACTCTTTTCCTCCTAGAGAGGGGGGCGATTTTTAGCCCCTTCCCAAAAATGTAGCAGTGTATGCTCACTTGTATGAAAGAACGTCTTCCCGCCATGTTTAAAAAAAACACACACAACGTAGGTTCCTTTTTGTTAGACAATCACAGCCAAGGCCAAATTTTGAATTTTTGAATTTTTCGCGGGCCTTTCAAACTTTTTCAAGTGTCAATTTAAGGCGGGAAGTTTGGGTTATCACACCATTTAACGAACAAGATTGGTTAAAAAATTAAGCAAGTTAGCAACAATACTTTTCCGGTGAACGTAATTTTATTAAATTACAAAAAATTCAAAACATGAGTTATGCAACCAAACATACAGGCGAAAATTTTTATTAAAATTATTGAACAACTAATTAAGAATGTGTAACGTTAATCTATTTATGCAAAGCTAAATATAATATGCTGACTGTTATCTAAGTAGATCTTCGTGAACATTTTGGGTTCTTATATCTCATACTGACGTAAATTGCGACTTTTTGTTGAAAAAAAGGGATGATATCACTTCATATATGGTGGAGGCGCCGGGTGCAGACAGTCAGTTTTTGTAGACCAAGTTATGCATTGGCTGCAACCACTCATCAGAATGAATATTTAAACAAAATTATTTGAACCCGCTTCATGTAACGAAAGTAAATTTTAAATGAGACTAACATAAACCATCATCCCTCAGTTGGTTTAATAAAAATAGTTATATAGGATATGAGTACTGCAAGTTTTAGCCAAAAATAAGCAGTTATTGTGCAAATTTCACATAAATCGCTCAACTAATATTTAAATTTTGATAAAATAAATGAAACCCTAATATTTACCTTAATTATGTAATATATGTAAAGTTAATCTTGTATGTTGTCTCATTAAGATGAGCAACTCTTATACTATATTTGTTTCAAAGATTGCTTAAGAAAGTAGGTGCTTCAATGAATTAGCTATTTTAATCGTACCTAGTCATATTATGAGAGTACTACAGTTTTGTGAAATTCGAGTTTGTTTATTCTTAAATATTTATTAGTGTATTATCCGTAACCCGGGTTATTTTTATAGACAAACTTATAAATAGTAAAGTTCAACAGCCAAACGAGAGTATACAAATGTTCCATTCACGCAGGTGAACACGAATTGCACGTATCATACATAACCTCACTGTGAACGTGTGTTGTTTAATAGTTAATGTTTTAGGTAAGTTGTATTAGTTTTCTCTGCACATTTTTACTATTTAACTAAATTCGGTTAATAACAATAAAGGTCATGAACGAATATTTCAAATTAACCCCGTTACCCAACTTTAGTGACATAAAAACATAGAAAATTAGTTATTTAAATATCAATAATACGGGAAAAACTGTTGATTTATACTTTTATTTTAAACGAAGTACACAAATTTTTGGACGATGTTTCAATAAAATTTCCAATAATTTGTATAAAAAATTGCACAAGGTTACCTCATACTTTTAATAACTATAATTAAATTTGTATGGAAACGCTAAGCATCAGTTTTTACTAAAACCAAAATAAACATTTTCTAACTTACAGGTTCATATCTGACCACAAATAGCAGACAATAGTTTTTGATTACATATGGCTTTTATTTTCAAACTGAAAATGATTTGTAGGCAACAAGTAATACACGTTTAAGACAAAGTCGAATATTCAATTTTACCGGTTAACTTTATATTGACACGTACTATCTGTAATAAATTACTATGGAATCTGGAACTGTGATTTGACAGTTTGATCGTACCTCCTGTTTTCCACGAGGCGGCAAAGTTAATATCTGCTTTGATGATTTATAATTTACAAACATTTTTAAGTATAGATCATAACATCTAATTCTATGGTGTAGACTAAAGTGAAAAAAGATTTTATGAAAATATTAAAGTAATTTTATGTGGCTATGTTTATTATAACATATTCTAACGTTACTTAAGGGAAATTTCCGTTGGAAATTTTAATGGACCGACATTGCCAGTTTAACTGGATTGCATCATAAATACAAAATAAAATTAACTTCCGCCTTTTTCAGAAATTTACTTTATAATTAAATAAACATAGAAAATACCTACGCCACAAATGTGAATATATTTCTAAACTGCACTTTGTACTTACGACAAATATAAAGCTTCACGCTGACCCTATTTTTAGTTTCAAGTGACTCTATCATCGTGAACTTTGTACTCGGGATTCATGTTTTGGGCCAAATCTAAATCCTAAATAATAAAAATCCATCAGACATTTAGTAACAATAGAATTGAGGTTCCACAAGGGTGTTCAATAGCCCACTTATATTTAATTTCATGTTAACGATCGGCTGTCAATTTTCAACTTGGATCGGTACCAAAAGCGACTCTGTTGATTTACAAGTTCAGAATACCGAAATAAAACAATTAATGAGCTTCACGTGATGAATTTATAGTGTGGAAACTACTTGCAAAATAAATCTAAAATTATGTAACAAAACACAGAAAACATTCTACGCTCGGAATAAAGGATGCTATGACTATAATTTCAGGCCTTTCTCCTATTGACTATGCTACCGACACGATCATAACACAACACCACTATGGACTTCATCATCGGCGGCTTAGCCGCCATGGGTGCCAGCGTCTTCAGCAACCCTTTCGACGTCCTCAAAACACGAATGCAGCTCCAGGGCGAGCTGAAAGCCCGAGGCCATCACGCCATCCACTACAAGAACACTTTCCATGCGGCTTACGTAGTCGCCAAAAACGAAGGCATCCGCGGTCTTCAAAAGGGACTAGGCACAGCCCTCATAATGCACAGTGTACGCAACAGTGTGCGCCTAGGAACTTACCAATCGTTAAGCAATCACGGGTTTATATGTGACAGTGAAGGCAAGACGATCTTATACAAAAGCCTGTTGGCCAGTTCCTTCAGTGGGGCTGCTGGGGCTTTCTTTGGAAGCCCGTTCTTTCTAATCAAAACGCAGCTGCAATCTCAGGCGGCCGAGGCAATAGCTGTAGGGCACCAGCATGGTCACTCAGGTCTGACTGCAGCCCTTAGAACAATTTATGTGAAGCATGGAGTATGATGGATAGTTTGTGAGGGTTTTAATTTAAGTGTGAATGGTGATTTTCAGATTAAAGGGTTGTGGAGAGGGGCTAATGCGACAATGTTGCGAGCGGTCGCTGGGTCGTCGGCGCAACTTACCAGTTTTGCCAAAGCTAAGGATTTTTTGAGAGAGTATGAGGTGTTTCGACATTCCACGGTATTGACTGCGTTTGGTGCGAGTATTGTTGGAGGAATTGTGCAGACGCTGTGTATGACACCGTTTGATCTGGTTTCGACGCGGTTATACAACCAAGGTAATGATGAAAATAGTTATTAACCTACCCTATATTTCATTAAGATACTTTCCTGCTAACTATACTAGAATCGCCGAATAAATGCGGTGATCATGTAAAAGTCGCATGAACAGCCTGCGCTGAAGCTCTATTAAATCAATCTTCATTTTGGCCTAGTAAATTCAAGAATATTTGTTATTCGCTTGTTGCTTCTTACACTAAAGTGACAAAAAGTTTGCTTAGACACCCCAAATTCTTTCCGCCTAATCATAAAAAGAATGAGTTATAACTTATAACATTCGATGGGAGCGGAAGTACGCTATAAAATCGAATTCAAGACGTTAACCAGTTGGTACGGTAATTTCGTTGTTCACATTGTGATAACCCAAACATTCCGCCAAAAACTGATATGTGAAAAAAAATCGAAAACCCGTGAAATATTTGAAAAGTGCTCCGATCTCGCCACCCGAATTTAATAAAGCAAAATTAATGAATTAAGAATACGTCGTGAATCGAATTCCCCCATCACATACAACACATGATCAATCTGGTCGAAAACACAAAATGTCGTTCGGTACACACGTCGCTTTGAGAGGCATATCCGAGTATAAACGTTCCAAATTCGAATTCACGACGACATTTACTTGAGAGAATCAGTGTTTAAGATTAAATTGTGAATACTGCCGATTACTGTTTTAAAATTTCCAGCACCTATTCAATTTAAATAATATTTACGTTGATCGCGCACTTTTATTACTGCATTGGCGATTGTAGTATAGTGCAATGGATAAACCCTGTGTTTGTTAAAAGGAAATACGACGAAACCTGAACATCCAATTCAAATTCTTACCTTGCAAATAGTCTAAATTTGATCTATGATTACAGGAACCGATATCCATGGGAACGGGACCCTGTACAAAGGAATAATCGACTGTTTCATTAAAACTTACAAATCTGAAGGATTTGTCGGTCTCTACAAAGGAGTAGGTGCAAATTATATGCGTCTTGCTCCACATGGCGCCTTCTGTTTAGTATTTTGGGACATATTAAAAGATTTACAAAATACGTATTTGAAATAAATTTGTGATAAATTTAAATGAAACTTATGTTGAACGAATCGGAGAAATTAAGACGATAAGTATTAATTTATTTTAATAACTATATGTACAATATAGCTGAACAGAGCTTTATATTAAATGAATGAACAAAATTTTGCTATATTTATTAGTTCATTGTTTTATCTTCACCTCCTGTTTAGCGGCGGACTACAATTTTTAAGAAAATAATTCTCTTCAGGGTTGTAGAAACGTAAAAACATTTTATAGTTTCTTATCTGTTAACTATACTTGCCTTTTAAGGTTATTTCAAATTTAGAGCTTTTCAATTGAAGTACATTGAAACCTCTCCACAACGGACAATGGGAATCTCAAATTGTCCTCTATGGAGAGGTGTCCGCTGTCAAGAGGTTTCAAGACACGAAGAAGCACTACATTTTAACATGTACACATACCAACGGCGAATTTTTCTGAGAGTCGCTAAATGCTTAATTTAAATTTCTCGGCATTGTTGATAATTTCAATTTTTTCACTAATACCATTGTTTAAGTATATTATAGTTGGACAACCTATACGGACAATCACTTTCCCATGTAGAAAAGAATGAATATATATTTTACATCTCACTCGCTTCACTATGAAGTGGTGGTACCTTACGAAAGGGGGTAAAAATAGTCCGTAAGCACGTGATGTCGATAAGGTAGTAAACGGACGTATTAATCAGTACGTTGTACGGGGAGCAGTCACAAAATAAGCAAACGTACGTGTTGAAGACTTTACTGTAATATATGTATATGTAGTGCATACCTGTTTCAAGGTTAAGGTAACAAAAATTTAATATTATCGCAGTATACCTATTATCCATGAACTGCATGGCTAACAAATATGCGTTCGTTCGTCCACTTTAAAGGTATACGAAATTAAACGACCACTACTTTAATTAATAAGTAACAAGCCATCTAATTTGCCTCCAGAATAACTTTGGATTATCATCAAACTATGAACACCAAATTAATTCAATATGAACATCTTCTTACGTATTTTTTTTATTAACAGTAGTCAAATCATTAAATACATATTATTTTTGAAACTAAAATGCATTTTATCCTAAGATTGTATCACAAAATATTCATCACCATTTAAATATATACGATTTAGACATCAAGAAATAAATTTAAAATTGCAAAAATTATACTAAAACAGCCTTAAATGTGTCTTGTATGTACGTGCTTATCAGTATGTAGGCATTTTAACGCACAGCAATAATCGTTCTTGATGAGTAATGACTAGAGAGCGGATTTCTGTCGGGCTAGGCAAGGCCAAACTCGGTACGGCTCGTACGGGATGGGAATTCATTGCAGTTACGGGCTGCACTTCGTTTATTTCAGATTAGAATAACGCTGTTTCGTTGCACTCTGCTGTTAATTCCCGTTCTCATTTACTTAGCCGTTTGATTAATAAATCGTTAATTATATTTATGGAATTAGTACCGATTAAATTCGGTGATTATCTATAACCCGCTACTGAGTCTTGGCGATCCAGCACGTCCCCACCTATAATCGTGACGTAGCCCGACAGAAATCCGCTGTCTAGTAATGACTGATGACTTCTGTAACACAGTAAATCCTCGAAATCGAAAATTTAAAACACTGAAAATTCAAATATGGGAAAATTGTAAAATCGAGAAATCGAAACAAAAAAATCAAAAAAATTCAAATTGGAAAATCTAAAATTTAAAAATCGAGAAATTGAACAATCGGTTAATTCAAAAATCGAAACATCGAAAAATTGGAAAATCGAAAAATAAAAAAAATTGGACAATCGAAAATTTAAAAATTCCGAAAATTGAAAAATTGAAATATAGAGAACTGAAAACTCAAAAAATCGAAAAAAATTAATAATTTCAAAAATTGAAAAGTTAAAATTGAGAAATCGAAAAACTAAAAAATCACAAAATTGAACGAAATATCAAACAATTAGGAAATTAAAAAATTGAGAAACAAAAAAGTCAAAAAAGCAGAGTCTAAAAATCGCAAACTTAAAAAATCGAAAAATTGAAAAATCAAAAACCTGAATAATCGAAAAATCGAAGAACTGAAAAATCGAAACTTTAGGAAGTGGAGAAATGGGAATATAAAAAAATAGATTAATTGAGAAATCCGAAAACTAAAAATTCAGAAAACTCAAAATTTGAAAAATAAAAAAATATTGAAGAACTAAAAAATCGAAAAATCTAAAATTTAAAACATTGAAAAGTTAAAATATCCTAAAACTGAAAAATGGAAAAATCCAAACATCAAAAAATCAAAAAAAAAAATAAAAATCTAAAATTTAATAATCGAAAAACTGAAAAATCAACGAATCGAGAAGTCGAGAATTTAAAAAATTGGACAATTGAAAAATCGGATAAATCAAAAATCGAAACATCGAAAAATCGAGAAACCGAAAAGCAAAAAATCGAAAAACCAACAAATCGAAACATTGTAAAATTCAAAAATTGAGACATCGAGAAATCGAAAAATCAAAAGACAAAAAAAATCGAGGAGTCGAAAAATCAAAAAATTGAGAAACCGAAGTAGGCCAAAATCGAAAAATCGAAAACTTAAATATGGAAAAATTGATAAAGCGAGATATTGAATAATCAAAACATCGAAACATCCGAATCTCAATGAATTGAGATCTCAAAAAATTTAAACATTCGTAAATTAAAAAAATTAAAATATAGAACTGGAAACTCGAGAAACTGAAAAATCTAGAAATTTAAAAATTAAAATATGAAAAAGTTGAAAAATTGAGAAATTGAAATAAAAAACAAAAAACTGAAAATCCAAAAATAAAAAATAGAAAAATCTAGAAGTCGAAAAATGAAAGAATCGAAGTATTGAAAAATATCAAAACTGAAAGAAATATCCAAAAATTGAGAAATCGACAAACCAATAAAGCAAAGTCGAAAAATCGAAGAATTGAAGAACTGAAAAATCGAAACTTTGAGAAGTGGGAAAATCAAAAGTAGATTAATTGAGAAATCAGAAAACTGAAAATTTAAGGCAAAAATTTGAAAAATTCAAAAATTTAAATACTGAAGAACTGAAAAGTCAAAAAATCGAGAAATCGAAAAAACTAAAATTTAAAACAATGAATAATTAAAATATCGCAAAATTGAAGAATCGAGAGATCCAATTCAATTTGAAAAATTGAAAAATCGGGGCATTGAAAAATTGGAAAATCCAGAAATTGAAAAGCTCAAAAGAAAAAAATCGAAAAACCGAGAAATCCAAAAATCGAAACATCGAAAAATTCAAAAACTGAGACTTCGAGAAATCGAAAAATCGGAGGATCGAGAAATTGAGGAGTCGGAAGCCGAAAAGGAAAGTTAAAAATTGAAAAATTGAGAAATTGAACAATCAAAACAACGAAACACCTGAATTCGATAAATTGAGAAATTAAAAAATTGAATAATCGAAAAATTTTAAAAAAGAAAAACTGGAAAATCAAAAATTAAAATTCAAAAAATCGAAAAATTGAAAAATTGAAATATAGAAGAACTGAAAACTCGAGATATCGAAAAACCTAGAATTTTAAAAAATGAAATATTAAAACATCGAAAAGTTTAAAAATTGAGAAATCGAAGCATTAAACAGTCCCAGAATTGAAAAATCTAAAGTTTACAATAAATTGAAAATCCAAAAAGCAAAAAAGCGAGAAATCAAAAAAAATCCATCAATTCAAAAATCGAAAAGTCGAAAAATTGAAATATTGAAAAATCTCATAACTGAAAGAAATATTCAAAAAATTGAGAAATTAAAAAATTGGAAAATTGAGAAATCGAAAATCTAAAAAAGCAAAATTGAAAAATCGTAATCTTAAAAAATCGAAAAATTGAGGAATTGAAGATGTGAAAAATCGAAACTTTAGGAAATCCAGAAATGGACAAATAAAAAAAATACTTTAGAAATCGGCAAACTGAAAATTTAGAAACGTGAAAATTTGAAAAATTGAAAAATCGAAATATTTAAAAACCGTAAAATTGAAGAGGACAAAAATTGAGAAATCGTATCATTGAAACATCGTAAGATTGAGAAATCGAAAAATAAAAAGATCGAGAAATAGAAAATTTAAGGAATGGAGGAATCGGAAAAGCCCAAAATTGGAATATTGAAAAATTGAGACATTTAAAGTTGAAAAATCGAGAAATCGACAAGCCGAAAAATCCCAATAGCGTATTTAGGTATAAATCACAAGATCAGGACTATTCTACTTTTTAAAATTATATATATATTTATATTGTAATATAAATTGAAAAATGTTGTTTTTTTTTTCCAAAAATCTTGACGTCTAAGGTGAAAACTCGACACGGATGCATAAACCGTAAATGGGGCGAAACTACAATTTTACTATTGTAAAATTTGGAGATTGCGTCATTTCATTGTTCGTGACAAATTTTGGAGAGTGTAATTTGATAATACAATTTGAAATGTAAATTTTGTCATTCGGGAACATTATGTATTAAATCGTTAAGATGTTCAAGAACTTTGTTCACTTATTCGTTGTAAAGTCCAATGGTCGAAATGGGTTAGTTCTTCGTAGTGGATGTGTATCACATCAACGGAATATCGGTTTATAGATAAATCGCTTAAAGCCGATATTGGCCTGAGTGTGCTTTGGTCTGTAGATCAAACAAGTTCTCAGGCGACGAAAAATTGCATGTGGAGGGAGACTTCGGATTACAAATCGTGCCAAGAAAGACATATTTGGGAGAGATGGATTTTCAGGTGCTTGACTAGCGGTAATTTTAAATTGTTTGCTGTCGTTCGCGAAGTGAAGAACACAATTTCATTAAAATGATAATTATAAAATTATCATAATCACCACAGGCCCGTAGCTAGGGGGGGGCCAGAGTGGGCATTGCCCACTCTGAAAGAAAATCTTGCCCACTCTGGAAAGTTATTGTCTTATCTGTGGGGATAAGGATAACAGCTCTGCTGGCAGTACGACTCCGCAAGTACGGCAGATAAATTTTTGTTGTGCACATTTTCGAAATCACTAGGAAGTGTTATTGTTAAGCAGGTACGTGACAAATCGTAAACACCACATCTGGGGTTTGTTGAAGACCCAACTAGACAAACAAAGTCATAAAAATTCTTCGATTTTTTCGGTGAACCGAGGAACCGGCGTCAATAGTAGTAGCGTACGCTCGGGAAGTAAAAATATTAAAAGTGTCAAAAAACAAATTGGAGCAATTTATGGTTTCCCAGAATTCGTCCGCTTTACCCTGCAGCCGATTGCGGCCTGGTTGGTTTCGAGAATTTCTCAATTTTCGTCTCATTGTTCACTGTTAACTCAACCAAGCACGTTGGACTTTAAATTCGCGTAGTTGAAATAAAAATTGAAACGTTTTAAATTATATTAAAGACATTATTTAACGAGTGTATATAGTGCAGTCATGGATATAAGAAAATTCTTTGCACCAAAAGTTGATGCTAAAGCGGGACCCAGTGCCAATGATTCTGAACTATCGAACGAGACATCACAGGGCGTAGGTTCTCTATTAGACATGAATATTGCAAGAAAAAATTTAATACCTTTGGACCTACCAAATATAGGAGAACCTATTAATCAAATACGTCTTAGGCAATATCCCAGAGAAAAAGATCGTTCTTTTCGTGCGGAGTGGTATGATCGGTTTAAATGGCTAATTTATTCTGTTGTGCGTGATGCAGCGTACTGTTATCCGTGCATGCAGTTTGAGCCTCATAGTTCCAAAGAAACTTCTTTTACGATTAAAGGTTTTCGTTTTTGGAAACGAGCTCTAGATCAAAGAGGATTTCCGAGACATGAAAAATGTGTAACACATATTCAGGCGATGCAAAAATGGAATGAAAAAATTCGGAGAGACAACATGAATTTGGCAGTATCTACACTTGCATGCAAAAGACCTTTGGAACAAAACAGATACTATGTAAAAAGTATTGCAGAAATTATTCAATTTATTGCTGTAAACGAACTGGCACTTCGTGGAGAATACAATTTAGACGAACATATCGAAGAAAGTTTATTTATTAGACTATTTCAGTATACTCTGAAGAAGGATAAAGAACTGGCAGACTGTTACTTGAAAATCCCCAAAAATGCTTGCTACACTTCTCCGGAAATACAAAATGAAGTAATTGATATTCTGACAGAAATTGTAAGAGAAAATATTTGCTCTGACATAAAAAGTGGAGATGTTAAATATTTTACGTTACTTGAAGATGGAACTAAAGACAAGAACCAAAGAGAGAACATATCAATAGGCATAAGATATGTCAAGAACGGAGAGGTAAGGGAATCTTTATTAGCTATAACAACAACCGTCAAGTTAGATGCTGCTACATTTACTGAGAAAACATTAGACATTCTTGATGCAAATGGATTAGATCAAAATAATATGCTTAGCCAATGCTACGATGGGGCAAGTGTGATGAGCGGAAAAAGAGGAGGCGTTGCCGCAAGAATTGAATCAGCTCTACAGAAAAAGGTACCTTACGTGCACTGTTTTAACCACAGACTGCACCTAGTGGTAATAAGAGTTGTCTCTGATATTGTGGTTTTAAGACTGTTCTTTGAGCAATGCATTACATTTCATGAATTTTTTCAACATCCCAAAGTACACCACATCTATGAGGGACAAAATATCGGACGTCTTCTAGAGCAAAGATGGACAGGTCATTTGGCCGTTACAAAAGTAATTCGGAACAATTTTCAAAAGATACTCCAAGCATTAGAAAAAATTCCACATGAAAAGTTTGACGGCGACACTATAGCTAAAAGCCTTGGTTTATATGCTATAATGAAAAAAATTGAGTTTCGTTTTGCACTAGTTTTAAGCCACAAAATTTTATCACTTTTGGAATGTGCGAACAACGCATTAGAAAGTAGAAAAACAAGCCTAAAAGATGCAATCGTAATTACGAAGATAGCAGTAGAAGAAATTCGACAGCTAAGGAACGAATCGAAGTACTTAGAAATATTAAACCAAGCCCTAGATTTATTGCCAGAGACAGACGAGACAGAAGAATGCAGGGTTCCTAAACGTAAACGAAAACGGATTACCAAAGAAGACTATTTGTTCACCGATTATCTTCCAAGTACAAGTACGAACTGTGAAAATGACCTTAAACGACAATATATGGAAACTATTGATTTGCTTCTTGCTGAATTTGAAAAAAGATTTGATGACAATGACGAGTTAATTACTGCGATTTCAAATATCGACCAATTTGATTTAGAGAAACTTCAGTATTTATCAACTTTGGGTGAGTGACTACCTATTTGATTTTTATCAAATTAATTTAAGTCCATATTTTATTGATTTAAAATTTTTCTGTAAAAAATCTGTAATTTTTAAATTTGTTTTTTAGGTATTCCATTACCGTCTCAAGAAGAACTTACCGTCGTAAAAAAATATTTGTCCAATAAAGGGGTAAAAGAACAAGATATACTACAGGCCCTTTACAACCAACGTGAAGCCTTTAATGAAAGTTATAAATTGTACGCAACTGTCGCTGTATTTGGGTGTAGTACAGCAGTTAATGAGTCTTCATTTTCCACATTAACTCGTATAAACAGACCACAAAGGTATTCAATGTCCCAGCAGAGAATGGCCAATCTTGTATACTTAGCTTTTGAAAGTAAGCAAACTAATAATATAAACTTTGATGTGTTCTTGCAGAAATTTAATGAGAGAAAGGACAGAAAACTCCAATTGTATTAAAAACTTAAAAAAGTTTTGTTTTAAAATTAAAAATGTTATGTACTCAGCTAGAAGCAATAAAGTATAACAAAACACAAAAAAATAATTTCAGGTACCTATACTTATACATTCGAAGATAAAAAAATATGTTTGCCCCCTCTAAAATATTAGTTGCCCACTCTGAAATCAAAGTCTAGCTACGGGCCTGAATCACCATTGGTGTTAATTAACACAAAATGGCGCGCAAGTTATCAGTTGATTTCGTTAATAAATTCATAGAAACCTATATGGGATTTTTTCATGCCTTAGAAAATTAAAAAGTAAAAAATACAATAACAAAAATTTTAAAATGCGGTTTACGAAAAATTAGTTGACCTGTGCAAAGAAGAAAATTTTGGAAACGCTGACAAATATGACATCTTAAAAAAAATAACACTTGAAGAAGTACTTTCGGCGTAATATTTTTGATGCTCGCGTGAACAAAATACTCTATGTCAGTGTGCAGTGCGCAAAGAGTTAACTGTGCAGATCTAGCGGAAAATCCGAAAACCAAATCGCTGTGTGTAGGGCCAGCATAACGGAAGTAATAAATCATCCCATCGGTTGAAGAACGTTGGGTCGGTGCACTGATGTCGGTGTTATATCCCGAGAGGGGCACAATACACCCAATAAAATGGAACAGACAAAATAAAGCTTCAAACATGATTATTTTTATACTAAAATTCTGAAGTTTATAAACTGCACATTTTATTTACTTATTTATTTTATCTTGTTTTCGAACTATAATAAACATTTCAAACAATGTCTGTAACTTATTTTAATGTAAATTATATTCATGTGGTTAACAAAATCAGATGTAACATTAGTGTGATTTTGACCTTATTCTAGATTTTATTACAGCAGAACGGCGTATCCTTTTTAAATTTTAGAAGTTACGGAAACTAGTTCAAGAAACAATTAGTTATCTCGTATTTTTGGAACAAAATCTACCAAAATGTCCGATAACAGCAATTGTTTTTCATAGAAACAAACAGTCTTCAAAGCAGCCTTTAACAACTTGATATTACAAACATGCCTCTTAAGTTCTTTATGCGTTTTTTCTCTCTTGTAATTATTTGTAATGTTAACGCCGAAAGTTTATGTCATTCTGTTATTTACTTTGAACATATATTTTCATTTTGTGCTAATATTTTTGTAACACCACGAATCTAAATTTTACTTAAAATCTTGTTTTACTTTAATCTTGTAAAACTAAACAATTATACCAGTTTAAAAACCCTTGGAAAGTTTCTGTCAGTCTTCAGATATAGTCAAATAAAAATATGCGTCAAATTCATTTAAATTCAATTCTTTCTTATCACGTTACAACGCGTTGCCTCATATTTTTTATGTCAAGTATATTTTCATATTTTGTACATATATGTTTATACACATTGCTGTTTACGGAACAATGTTAATTATGGATTTATGGATAACTCCTCGTATAAGAGCAGAGTGAAGGGTGTTTGCCTTTGCTAATGTTTGATGGCGCCATCTGAATTAGAGTAAAATAAACCTAATACGTTGGCTCACTGTAGTGAAAATGCGCGTTGACGAAAAATTTGTCCCACGCCCCCTGGATTCCTTGTCCTAAAGCTCACTATTTAGGCGAAGTAAAATTTGTATTAGGTTGTCCAACTATAATATACTTAAACAATGCTAATACATACTTAAAAATTTCTTTGCTTAGCTATTTACGAAAAACCCATATTTACTCGTATTATGAGCAGTGTGGGGTTGAAGAGTTATGGCCTGCTACCGAGAATCTGTTGACCTGATCTTTAAATTTTGTTATACGGTCTAATCTCCGGACCGCTTTACCTGGTACCTGTCCAGTGTGAAGAGGTAATTTTACAACGAAAATAACTAAATTTTACTGTCCATGTCCGTTGTTTGGAGGATTCTTTACATTAAATGACCTATTTTATACGGTGGGACAATGAAAATTGTCCGTTGCAGGAGGTTTCAATATATGTTTATTAAGATGTGATTCCACTTGACTAAAACAATTTCATTGTTCTTAAGTACGAGAAAAATCCTGTGATTTGGTGGGTGAGTAATAACTTCGCATATGTGCTTTACATGTAGAACATAAACAAAAATATATTTAAAAAAAAAAACAATAGCTATAAGTTACAAAATAATAATAATATAAAAATTAAGTACAGTATTTCATGGATTAATAATATATATTAAGTATAAATCTACAAAATAGGTATTCATTGTGCTTTATAATGTCCCTTAGTCTAATTGTATAAAAATTGTATATTTTTGGAAGTCTCATAAGTACTGATCAGCAGTGATTTTGTGCAAAGTAACTTACTTTCAGTCATGTCAAGTCTTGATGCTAATTTTTATCACAGAGAGCGAAAATTTTCACCTATGCTAATGCAGTACTCGCTTTTCAAATTGCTACATATATAAACTAGACGATCTATGACCAAAACAAAAATAAAAAAGCGTTACATTAAAAATCCAAAATCAAAATAATTATAATATTCAGTTAGCACCATACGTAAACATACACTCTTCTGAATAAGATTGCAAAAATTAACAAAAACGTGAGTAAAAAATTAAATAAATATTTATATAACAGCACGACTAGAACTGATACCTCTTGCGGGTAACGAATTGCTCTTTCCTGGTAATTCTTTCGCGTGCGAATGCGCAACGACTATGCTCAAACATTGAACCCACTCTTCGGCGTTTTTGCCGTCTTTGGGCTTCAAAATGAGAGTTTGATTTCCAGTGAAGATTTCAAACGCCTTGGGTATGTTCCTGGCACCCCTCGACACCTTGACTGACCTGATTTGATTCACGTCGATGGATTCACCCCCACTCTTTAAAATGAAATTACTGGAAAACTGAAAATTTTTGCTTCGAGGACTTACCGAACCCTTGCAGGACAAGTGCGCCCCGGACAAGGTAAAATATCGCGTTCTCCATCTTCGGAATAACCTCCACCGACCTTTTTTTTCTTTCAATTGGCCTTCGATGACGGGTTGTGTGTCTCCTAAAAAAAATTGAATTCAGTGGATATATTAAGGTATAACCGTACGAAAAATCGCTATCATACGCAATAATGTTGCTTTGGAAATGAAACGGTCACAATTCGCCGTTGGGAAAATAAGGTTAGTTGCTACGTTTTCTGAGCATACCTTAATTTCCGCACGCGTGCCGACCAATCACAACAAAACACATTCATCGTGTTCATTCCAATATCACAGATCTAGGGAAAACCATACAATTTGTTTTTATATTTACTATTGTATGGGAGCATTTTTTTTAATTGGGACCGATTTGTTAATTTTACAGATTCTCCAGTTTTCGATTTTACGATTTTTCAATTATTCCATTTTTTTGCTTTGTTAGTTCTCGGATTTTACAATTTTTGAGTTTGAAACTTTTAGTTTTTTAATTTTTCAATTTCGTCCTTTTCAGCAAAAGAACAAATTTATCTAAACTAAAATATTGGAAAATCGGAAAATTGTATTATTGAAACAATGAAGAATACAAAAATTTTAAAATGAAAAATCCAAAAATTTCAAACTGAAAATCGAAAAACTAAAAAATCGAGACACCGAAAAATTGAAAAATTGTAAAAACATGGAAAACTAAAAATAAAACTGCAAAATTGAATAAATGAAAAATTGGAAAAACGAAACAATTTTGCAATTTTTCAATTTTAAAGTTTTCAAATTCTTGATTTTCAATTTTAATCAAAATTAAATTTTGCAAAATCAAATAACTGTAACACCGAAACATTAAAAAATACAACAATTAAAAATCGAGAAATTGAAAAATTGACCAAATGAAACAATTCTGCTATTTTTCGATATAAAATTTTTCAAATTTTCGATTTTTCATTTTTAATTGTTCAACAAAAGGACAAATTTATTCAAACTGAACTTTTGAAAAACCGAAAAAGTATCACACTGACACATCAGAAAACAAAATAATTAAAAATCGAGAAATTGAAAAATTCAACAAAAAGAAACAATTTTGCAGTTTTTATATGGAAAAACTGCAAAATTTTTAAAATTCTCAATTTTTAATTCTTTCTGATTGTTCATTTTTTAATTGTTCAATAAAACGACAAATTTAATCAAACCGAAATAAATTTTGAAAAATTTAAAAATCAGAAAATTGTAACATTGAAACGTCTAAAAATTATAAAATTGAAAAATCAAAAAATTTAAAAATTGAAAAGTCGAAAAATTGAAAACAAAGAAAAATTGAAAAAACCGAAAAAATGAGAATCAAAAACTGAAAAATCTAAAAATTAAAAAATCGACAAAACGAAGTAATTCTGCAATTTTTCGATATAAAATTTTTCAAATTCTCGATTTTTAATTTTTCATTTTTTAATTGTTCAACAAAGGACAAATTTATTCAAATTGAACTTTTAAAAAACCGGAAAATTGTAACACTGAAAGATCAAAAAACAAAACAATTAAAAATCGATAAAAAGAAACAATCTGCAATTTTTCGATATAAAATTTTTCAAATTCTCGATTTTTATTTCTTCATTTTCTCGATTTGTCATTTTTTAATTGTTCAACAAAAGGACAAATTTATTCAAACCGAACTTTTGAATGGAATTGAAAAATCAAAAAATTGAGAAATCGAGGAATCGAAAAAATAAAGGAAGCTTTAAAAAAACCGCAAAAATGAGACTTAAAAACTGAAAAATGAACCTTGAAATATCAAAAAAATTAAAAATTGAAAAATTAAAAAAATTGAGAAATTGAACAATGGGATAATTGAAAAAACAATTGAAAAATCGAAAAATTGTAATATAGAAACCTGAAAACCAAAAATACAAAAATCTTAATTTCAAAATCCAACAATTTTAAAATGAAAACCGGAAAACTAAAAAATTAAGAAATTGTAAAAAAGAAACACGGAAAAATTGAAAAATTGTAACATCGAAAAGATGAAACACTGAAAAACCGAAAAACTTAAAAAATCGAAGATTTGAAAAAATACAGAAACTGAAAAATCGGATAATTCAGCAGCCAAGAATTGTACTCTTGAAAAAAAAAACCGTAATAATTGTTTGAAAAAAGTGAAAAATTAAAAATCGGGACATTTAAAAATGAAACATTACAAAATTGTAAATTTGAAAAAAAAAATCGAAAATTCGTGACATTGAAACCTGGAAAAGTGATAAATTAAAAACTGAGAAGTTGAAAAATCGAAAAAACGAAAAATTGTAAAAAGATGGAAAATCGAGAAATTAAAAAGCAACTTGGAAAATCGAAAAATCAATAAATGTAAAAACGAAACACGGAAAAATCGAAAAATTAACAATTAAAAAAACCAAAAATTTAAAAATCTCGAATTGACAAAATAAAAAATAGAAAAAACGAAACAACTTGGAATTACATACTTGGAAGTACTTTACTTTTAATTTTTCAATTTTTTGTAATTTTTCAACAAAAAGACAAACTTAATTAAAAGTGAAATTTTAAAAAATCAAAAAAATAGGAAAGTTGTAACACTGAAACATCGAAAAACTCGAAAAACTGAAAAATCAAAAAATTAAAAACTGAAAAATCGAAAAAGAAACATTGAAAAACCGAACAATTTAAAAATTGAGAAATCGACAACTGGAAAAGGAAAAATTGTAACGTTAAAAATGAAAAAAACTGGAAATTTAAAAAATAGAAAAATCGAACAATTGCAAAATTGAAAATCAAAAATAGAAAAAACGAAACTTGAAACACCGAGAAATTTAAAAATTGTAATCTTAAAACTTGAGAAACTGAAAACTTCGATAATTGAAAAACTGATTAATTAAAAATCCAGAAATAGAAAAATACGGAAAACAAAATTGTCTAGAAATAGAAAAATCGACAAATTATAAAATTCAAAAGTTGAAGAATCAAAAAATTAAAATTTCTAGACACTTAAAAGTCGAAAAATTCAAAAAATTTAAATTGAAAAATCCAAAAACGTCAAAATAAAAAAATCGAAAACTGAAAATTTAAAAAACGAAACATTGAACAATAAAAAAATTGAAATACCGAAATGTTGAAAAAATCGGATAACTAAAAAATCAACATTTGAAAAATCAAAAAATTATAACATTGAAACTTGAAAAAACTGACGGAATAAAAATCGAGAAACTGAAAAATCGAAAACAAAAAATTTAAAAATGCAAGAAAAACTGAATGTCAGAATGTAATATCTCCGTTATTAACAGACCTATGGTCTTGAAATTTTAAATATATGTTGTCCATAACTTTCTTCATATAATGCAAAGGCAATTTTGTTAAAAACAGTTTGTGATCATATTTTTCTTTTAATTTTCGTGAAATTTTTGCATAACGTATTGTTAAAAATCAATATCTCAATTATTAAAGGAAATTTCAGAACACGGTTTTCAACACTGTTTTCAGCTTACAAACCTCCAGAAATTATACCAGATATATCGTCGATTTTTTTGTTAGAAACAATACACAGTAAAAAAAAGCTTGTGTCATAGAAGTTGCTAACTTTTTTTTACTATAATCTCAGTGAGAACAAATAAAGTCAGAAATAGACCTAGTACGACTTCAAAAGTTTTGCAAGATGAAAACAGTGGTGACAACCCCGTTCCAAAATTTCCATAAATAACTGAAATATTGATTTTTTAGAATACGTGATGCAAAAATTTTAACAAAATTTAAAAAATATATAATAAGTTGTATAAAAAAAAAACTGCCCTCGCACAAAATTTTAAATTCGAAACGAGAACTTTTTAAGATGAGATTTTAAACTAAACAGCAGACAATGTTTTTTAACAATAATGAATCTTTATTTAATAAATTTATTACTTTTATTATATTAGATGGGTATTAGCGGTATTAGCATTTTTTACTTGCTAACATAAGTCTTATTTTGGCAAATGACATATCCTCTGAGAAAATAGGGGGCGGGTGGGCGCGGCTAGTACTTGGTAAGATAAAACTGATGTTGCCCCTATTAATCTTGTAAAAACTTTTGAAATTTACAGGTTTAAATATCGTCGCGCTCCTAGCGGCAAAACCCTGAACTAACCAGTGAAATCGCGTTGAATTCAAATCCATTTTTTTTTTTGAAATAATTCTTCGTTTTTGTTAAAAACTCTTAACTCCTGTTGAAAGTAGTTTAGTTAAACTAACGATAACAAAACGTAGGTTCACCATTGTGTACTAGAGTGCTTATAATGTGACATTTTGATTCATTAAAATTTGATTGTTAATTTTGACTCACCTCTTAAAAATCCCACGGCTCTTTCGGGGTGTGCACACAAAAAACAACCCCACTTAAACGAATTCCCATCAAGCTGATCGGCTGAACCTCCCACGTTCTGTGGACATATCTGGAACACGTCGAAGTACCCGGCATGCCGCAATTCGTTAATCAACGCATCCTGGTCTTTGGGACACGGAAAAGCGCTGGTAACCAGAGTCAAAAAAGTCTTATTTTCACACTTCAGCATGTCCCAACAGTGCTTCAAACTGGCAACTTGAGTATCCCGCGAACTTAAGGCATGTTGATGCCGGGCCTACAAAACGATTACTTACTTACTTTCGCTATTTTTTTTTTTTTTGGCACAAACCTGTAAAGAAATAAACATCAAGTGTATCCATGTCCTAGGATTGCGTGTCCTCATGGTGAAGTATGTCTTATTGTAAAGACAGTGTTGTCCCCCACCTTGACACGCGAAATGGAGTTTGGCCGATTTCTTCTGTCTTTTTTCCTCAATGGTGCACTTCGCTGGTGATGGGATCCTTATGGAGACCTTGTCCATGTAGGCTTTTATTTTATCTAAGTGTTTCTCGCAGAAGTGTTGAATCGTATCCCTCATCGGAAAAGGTTCGAATACACTCATTCTCTGATTGGCCAAAGAGCTTTGGTTGGAATTTAGCAGAGTCACGCTTGTGTTGTTTGGACGTCGAGACACCACGGTGACTGGATTGTTGACACTGACGTTGCCTACAATTGGATTGTTGAGAGCGTATTTCCTAAACGTGCTGACTTTACCGCTGCCCATTGTTGAAGTTATTGGTGCTAGATGCGAACTTGAAGAATCTAAAAGACTGTTAGATCCCACTGAAATTGTCTGAGTGGCTCCACTGTTGGCGTTGGTGTTGAGGACCGAGACTTGGCCACTGGATATAGGACCTGTGTATACTGAGCTGACTGTCACGGAGTTGGGGTGTTGCGGTGATGTGATTGGTAGTGGTGTTATAGTAACCTAATCAACAAAAAATGTTACTTTTTCCAGAATAAATTCGAATTGTAACTAGTCGTCACACAAACTTACTTGACTGTTTTGATTTGTATTTAGAGTTAAAGGTCCTTGGCTGAGTGGCCGCTGCATACGCGGCGGCGAAATGGTGGTGACGGTCACTCCTCCGCTTGATACTTTATTGTTGATGTACTTGTGGGTATTTGTGACTGTTACATTATTGGAAGGTTGAGTTATTGCATTTATTTGTTGAGAAGAACTAAGCCGCGTCATACTTTTGTGTAGGCCGCCGATTGAACCTCCTACAAAAAAGTGTTGATAAGAAACTGTGTTTAGTTTTATGGAAGCGCGAGAAATTAGTTTATTCAAATCGTTGTATTGTTATATTGCGTTTTTTTTTGGTTTTGTTTATTGTACATACACTGTGTTCGCTGTGCACTTCATGTTTTCTAGCTTTTTATAGCGCGTGAATAGGCAACCCACATAACAACTACAAAACGGTACTTAAATCTACCACTCGATAGAGGGCGACGAAAAAAATTTGTAAGACTCTCATAGTAACCATTAAGATAATTTACAACGTTGCCAGATGAGCCTAACTCAACTTTGCCGTTATTTATAGTCAATTAGATTTTATTTCGTTTAGTAGTTTCTTTCACATTTGATGATGTAAGTACAATTATATCGATAACTCGTTACTGAAATTTTAATAATTTGTGTTAAAAAAAGATTTTTTGTGGTTTTATTGTTTACTTGCATAATTTACCCATTTACAATGAATATTTTTAATACATAGCACAAGTTCTTGATATTTTTTATTTTTATTTCAAATAATAATCGTGTTTTCTTTTGTACAAGTTTGGGATCGATATGGCCAGTTGTTTAGAATATGGAAATATGCTTTTGCTCGTATTATTACGAAACAGGTTATCAAATAATCCATTTTCATATCGTGGGACTTTGAAGCGGCAGAAGAATTAAAAACCAAAAATTTTTATTGAAGAAACAAACTCTTCCAAGAAAATTTACCAAATTTCTTAGTTTACGCACTATTGAAAGAACACTCTTTAAAACGGTCAGTATAATCGCAGTATTCCGTCCACCACCTGACCATTCTGGCCAAGCAAAAAATTTTGTACATAGTAATAAAAAGCAAAAAGACGGATTATAAGCCCGCCCACCCACCCTTTCTTTTCTTAGAGGGTACCTCATTTACCGAAAATCACTCTTATCTTTGCAGGTACTAGCCCCGCCCACCCACCCTCTCTTTTCTTAGAAGATATGTTATAGATAGGTACTTGCTACTAATAGGCCAGTGCCGAAGCCTTTGAAAATGGTAAAAAGTAAAAAAAAAATTAGAACAAGATGATACCCATTGGAAAAGGAAGAAAATATAACAAAAATACAAGGAAAAATAATATACGGGCGATCTGAGGTCGGCAAGTGGAAGAGGGGGAGCTTTTAAGGGTAGAAAACGGTTTATCACGATTTCCGGCAAAACTACAAGTCCTATCGCAAAAAGTTAAATGGCGAAGTTGTAGGTAATCAAAATATCTACAACTTTTGTATTTACACTTTCTTCACATAACCTCAAAATGTATGCGAAAAATGCAAATAACCGAGTTTTTGGTTTTTTATTTTTATCTCCAACAAAAAAATTTTTTTTTTCGCGAAAGTTGGTGAAAACTTACCTATTTATGTCCCAAACTCACTCTAATTTTTTTTATTCAAAATATTTATTTTTTCGCCTTATTTTGATTTAATATCGAAAAACCACCCTAATTTTCAATCGAAAATTCTCACGTCAACATATTTGCTTTTTTAAAAAAATCGGTGTCCTTTTTGTTCGCTGAAATCTCTACTTTCTGATGGTGTAAAAAAAATATATACATTACTATGGCAAATTTTCACAGGAAATGCAAAAAAACGAAAAAACTCGAATTCAAAAAGTTGTTTCTTAATTGTTATGTAAAATTTGGAGCTATTTCTTAAAATTTACACGTTAATTACTCGAAAAACGTAAGATTCCATGTTACATTGATAAATTAAAAAATTGCAAATCGAAATATACTACTATAATTAACAACCAAATAAGTTAATAAAACTTAATACTTTATAAGACATCTACAATATTTTGGTAAGTTGTAGGATAATTTTGAAATTATATGCATAGGTGCCTATTTAACGCTATTTTAAGATAACTTATATACCTGAATGGCCTACGGAAAATTTTAGCCCATCGGAAGAATGAACAACATCGTTTATAAAAATACACGTGCAGGCTGAGTTACTTGAAGAGAATCGTGACGAATTGACTTATTTAAAAGAAACTTTTGAAATCTACAGTCACAAGGATTTTCCTGTAAACAAGCAGAAGAAGATGCTGATATAATTAAGATCTCGATAGAAACTGCCAGAGATACTAATAAAACTGTCATAGTTGTGGGTCAAGATATTGATCTTTTGGTCCTTTTGAAACAATTGAAGAAAAACATCGTAAATTCATTGTCTTCTAATATATAAAATTCTCGTGTCACAGTGTGTAACCAAACTCCCCCGAAACGGCTTGAGTGATTTTTATGAAATTTTCTGTCTATATTCGGTAGGTCTGAGAATAGGTCGTAAACTATTTTTTATACCCCTAGATGATAAGGGTGGCCCACCCAAAAAATTTGGGTGGCGCCACCCCACAGCCATCTTGCAATAGGGTTGCAAGATGGCTGTTGAACATAGTCATTGTCGTACGATAAATTTTTATGTATAATTTATAATTTAATTTAATTATAATTTATTTATTTTATTTTAATTTTTTATTTAACAACTAAAATATTCATTAGAAATAATTTATATGGCAAAACAACGTTTACTGGATCTGCTAGTTAGACGATAAAAATTTGTCAAATTTGGCCAATATTTTTTATAAAAAACATGCAAACGAAAGAAGATATCGCAAAAAATCGATTACAATTAATCAAATATATTTTTAGATGTATAAATGGCAATCTAACCCTGAATCAATTAAGATTTCGAAAATCAATTGGCAAGAATTAAATCATCTTTCATATTGACAAATCTCCCACCAACAGAAGGCGTTTGTTTCATGGATTTTCAATTTTTTGGTTTGTCAATGTAACAAAATCTTACATTTTTCGAATAATTAAAGTGTAAATTTTAATAAATATCTCAAAATTTTACATGATTCAAAAAAAAAATTCAGATTCGAGTTTTTTCGTTTTTTTGGGTTTCCTGTGAAAATTTGCCGTAGTAATGTATACTTTTTTTTACACCATCAGAAACTAGAGATTTCAACGAACAAAAAGCACACGGACTTTTTTAAAAAAGCAAACATTTTGACGTGAGAATTTTCGATTGAAAATTACGGTGCTTTTTCGATTTTAAATCAAAATAAGGGGGAAAAATAAATATTTTGAATCAAAAAACCTACAGTTAGTTTGGGACATAAATAGGTAAGTTTTCACCAAATTTCGTGAAAAAAAAAAAATTTTGTGGGAGATAAAAAAAAAAACAAAAACTCGGTTATTTGCATTTTTCGCATAAATGTTGAGGTTATGCAAAAAAAGTCTAAATACAGAAGTTGTAGATCCTTTTATTACCTAAAACTTTGCCATTTAACTTTTTTCGATAGGACTTGTAGTTTTGCCGGAAATCGTGATAAACCGTTTTCTACCCTTAAAAGCTCACCCTCTTCCACTTCCCGACCTCAGATCGCCCGTAAATTATCTTTCCTTTTATTTTTGTTATATTTTATTTTTTTTACAATGGGTATCATCCTGTTCTAAATTTTTTTTGTTCTCAAAAATTATCGGCACTGGCCTATAACAAATCTTAGAGGGTATACCATTTGCCAAAATCAGTCTTAACTTAGCAAATACTAGCCCCGTCCACCCGCTCTCTATTTTCTTAGAGCATACATCAACTGCTAAAAACTGTTCTAAAGAGTTCCATCTTTTTGAAGAGTAATCTAGTTATCAACAGGGACCGATTTTAGACCGTTCTATTTCCCAGAAATATCCAATAACCTATTCAACAATAGGTAACAAAAATTATCAATCGGTAGATAGATATTGGGGGTTCAACTCACTTTTTAGGAAAAAACTTTAAACTAGGAAAACCTTGACCGAAGTTGAGCCACAAGCCACTCATGTGCACGAATTTATATTTTCCAGCCAAAAAGTGATCCAGAAGATCCACTATATAACGATCTATTTTATGACATCGTTTTTATCAAAATACTAGTTATTCCTTATTGTATTCATATCGGTTTTAAAAACGTACCAACTGAATTTTCCCAGGATCACCAATTTGTTTATTTTTACGATATTTCCCCAACTACTGAACTGACACTCCGCACCAGACCAAATATAAACAAGGTCGTATGGCTGTGGAAAAATTATGTTTTAAAGTTAAACGCCGAGGTTTGTTTAATGGAACACATTTACATTATTTATGAAGAATATTGATTTGTCTATATTTATGCGTAAAAATTGGCCGAAAGTTATTTTGACAGAACTTCCCTCGCCCTTGAAGTACAGCCCAACAAATCTTATATATCTACTATAAATACTAGTTACTTAATCTTGTTTTTTTTATATATAGAATTTTGTTTCAGCAACAGGTTAGTTAAACATGTTTTCAGTTTCTTGTTTAGAAAAGACTTCTTATATTAAAAAAAAATCGACAAAATATAGGCCCCGCCCACCCACCCCTTCTCAATTGTGATGAATATTTTATTCATTCTTGCAAAATCCTCGTTTCTCTACAAGAAATTACCATATGAAATATGTATGTTTTTAAAAGGGTAGAATTTTTTAGAGAAATATTGACGGGTGGGTAATTTTTGTGTGTGTTTTTTTTAATATATAGAATTTTCTTTCAACAACAGGATAGGTAAATATAGTGTCAATTTCTTGTTGGGAAAGGAAGACTTCGTATATTAAGAAAAAAATGGACCAAATATATGCACCGCCCACCCATCCTTTCTCAATTGTGATGAATGCTTTATTCATCGTGAACTGAAGGGTGGAGTTTAGTTGCAAAATCCTCATTTCTCTGCAAGAAATTAACATATGAAATATATTTTTAAAAAGAATTTTCAAGAGAAATAATATGTTACAATTAAACTCCACCCATCGTCTGATTAGGAATGAAAAATTCATCACAAAAAAAAAATGCAAGGAACAAAAAAATGAAAAAATTGAAGAAAAAATTCAAGTCAAATAAGTCGTGGGAACGTTATTTACGCCACTCGTTTTTACTTTATAGAAGTTATCAGAAAACAAAAATCCCAAAAAAATGATAATTTTTCAGAGAAGTGGGATTTATTTGGCTGCACTTCAGGGACGAGAGAAGTTCTGTTGAAATAACCTTCGACCAATTTTTTAGCAATGGAATCGGTATTAACATTATTTTATTTGACTTAATTTCAATTGAACTGTTTAATAATTTTATTTATTTATTAAATATCGGGTAAGCTGTGTAAGTGGTGCTGAAATTTGCCTAAAATCAATATTTTTATTAAGTAAGTATAAAATGTACAATACACCATATTCCTCACTCAGGTAGTGAACAGAAGTAGGTGGGTATCAATGGAATAATACGATTATAGTAACCGTTGTAAGGAGTGATCTCAATGTACAAAAGTATGTTAGATAATAAATAAGTGAAAAATTTTATGTACCTATGTACTTTTTTACGCACTTTTTTAACTTAATATATACAGTTTTTTTTTCAACAACACGACCCTTAAGAAATGTTTCACACGGTAACTTATTGTAGAAAAAATTGGATTTTACAATTAAGCTCCGCCCCCAGCTCCCGACGAGTAAAAAAATTAATCACAATTGAGATCGGGGCGGGTGGGCGGCGCTTATGTTTAGCCTTTTTTCCCTTAATACCCGTAGTCGCGTTTTCACAATAAATGAAAAATTCATCATAAGTGAGAGGGGGGGGGAGGGGGGGGTTGTTCTTCTTAATGTACAGTTTTCTTTCAACAACAGATAATTCTAACCTCAAATTCACCATTTGATATTTTAAGTTATTGTTGAACAAAGAGTATGTTTATTACGAAAAGCAAGTCAAAGGATTGAAACTGGGGGCGCTGATTTTCTTGCAAAGAATGAACTGACAGCCGGTGAAAATATTTGAATTGTTCGTAAAATATTCATTTGTCGTAAACAAATGTTTTTTTGTTAAGTTTTTTTACAATGCCGACGGTCCAGACGTTTTTATTGCTCCGCTTATTGAATAAACACTACATTTTATTTTGATTTTCGATGTTGTAATTCACATTTGGTTAATTATAACTTGTTTAGATCTAGAGGAGGCTTAGCTTCCGCTAGCCTCCCCCTAACTACGGTCTTGTCTAGTGGTTATGAAATATCGAGAAAATATGAAAGTACCAAATTGCCCGATGGACTCCATTGCTGTACGTCCTTAGGTTATCATCGATAAGAAAAACAACTTGAAAATGTCTGCTTACACATCGGAAGAATGTCACGTAGTTGATATGAATGAGTTCGTCCCCTCAAAACAGAGGATCAAAACTATTAAGTAGTAAGCTGCAGTCGACAAAATGTTCTGAATATGATTATTATATTTCTTATTAAATAAAGACGTTTGTATTTTTACATTTTCGGGAAAATGGGGTGACTCGTTCTTAATTTGATCAATAAAAAATATCGATGCAATAATTATACTTTTTAAAATTTTTACAGTGTTAATTTTACGATTATAGAATTTTTTCATTTTTCAATTATAATCCAATTTTTTCTTTATTCGATTTTTCAATTTTTCCATTTTTAATTTTTCAATTTCTCGATATTTGATTTTTTAATTTTTGGATCTTTCGTTATTAGATTTTCGATTTTACAATTTAGACGATTTTATAATTTTTCAACTTTACAATTTTTGGGTTTTCCATTTTTTCGATTTTTAGTTTTTTAAAGTTACGACTTTTCAGTTCTTCGATTTAAAATTTTTGGAATTTACAGTTTTTAGTTTTTCCAATTTTCCGATTTTTTTGTTTTTCGATTATTAAATTCATTGATTTTTCGACTTTTCGAATCAAAAAACCGACAAAATTGTAAAATTATGAACATGAAAAATCAAAATTGAAAAAACGAAGAAGTATAAAATGAAAACTTCAAAAAACCTGAAAACTGGAAATCCAAAAATCGAAGGATTAAAAATTGAGAAAGTTAAAAATCAAAAAATGAACAATTTTTATAATAAAACGAAATATTGTAAAATCTATAACTGAAAACTAAAGAAATCGGATAATTAAAAAATTAAAAAATTGCAAAAGTGATAAAAAAACTAAACCAGGAATTTGAAAATCAAAGAGCGAAAACTGAATAAACGAAGAATTTTAAAATGGAAAAAACTTTCAAAAAATAAAGGAAATGAAATAACGAAAGAAAAATCATGATATAATCGAGAAAAATGAAAATGAAAAATAAAAATTAAGAAATTGAAAGGTTGAGGACACGAAAAATTGAAAAATTCATCATAAGTGAGGTACGGGCGGGCGGGTGGGGCTGATTCTTCTTAATAATAATGTACAGTTTTCTTTCAATAACAGATAATCCTAACCTCAAATTCACCATTTGATATTTTAAGTTATTGTTGAACAAAGAGTATGTATATTACGAAAAGAAAGTCAAAGGATTAAAACTGGGGGTGCTGATTTTCTTGCAAAGAATGAACTGACAACCGGTGAAAATATTTGAATTGTTCCTAAAATATTCATTTGTCGTAAACAAATGTTTTTTTGTTAAGTTTCTTCTTTGTTGAATTGGTTTTTTTTAACTGTATATAATTTTTTATGAAATCTAAAAACATTATATCGCGACTCAAAAAGGAATTTCTGGCATTTTTTGAGTGCATAACAAAATCGAAACTTAAAAATAAAAATAATGTCGATAAAAAGGAATACACGTAGTCTTTTTTTCACAGCAAGATACTTAGAACATGTTTATGAATGAAAGTTTTTGTAGAAAAATATCGATTTTGTAATTACGCTCCACTCTAACAACGAATGAAAAATTCATGACAATTCTAAATAGGGCGGCTAATAAACAAATAGGTTCGTACAGTGTAAAGAATTGAAATTATGCCAATTTATTTATTTTGTCCCGACATTTTGTACTGATAAACAACAACACATAATAGACATAGAACGTTTTTTTGGATTAAAGCTATTTAAATCCCTAGTTACAAACACTGCAATATTATGAATGAACGAGACTCTTGTGTAGCAAATATAGCAGAATTTACAGGATACTTACTGCCCATTCACAATGGACATAAGACATAAGAACGAGCGCATAACATAATTTACGTTTTTGGTTTGTGTCTGGCTTATGCTTATCTACGTGCACAGTGGACAGAGTGAACTCTGTAAGAATTGTTAAACTGCGCAAACGCAGAACGGAATAACTCCCGGCTAAACATAGAAACGGCTAACCTCAAACTGAGTCAATCAAAATATCTAACCTACAATTTCATACGATATTCGAACTTGACAACTCGCAGTACAGAACAGACTCGCAGTGTGAAGCTTTGATTATAATTTATATAATATAATCAAAGGTGCGAAGTGCCAAGTGCCAACTGTCAAAGGGAATTCAACAGCAGCATTCAAAAGTCCCTAGATTTTAACATAATTTTGACATCATTCGTGCACAAAGTTGAACTTGTTTCAACTTTGTGTACGCACACAAGGATTACATAAAACGTTCATAAGCATAAGAATTACGTTCGTCCACTGTGAACAGGGGTACACGTTTTCCATCGTTTCAACTTTATGTATTTATGTAAGCTTTATGTACTTGTTATGCCTTATGTCCATTGTGAATGGGCAGTTACAAAAATTATTTCAGCGAATGTAATTTTTTTCAAAAATGTTGCATTCTTGATTTAAAAAAACGTTATGAAATGGAGTCATTACAAATTTATTTTTATTTTTTCGAAATTTTGCAGTAGTTTCCACATATCTGAACCGCTGTTTTTTAGAACTATTTACTCAACATATGTTATATAGATCTATTTTCTAAAAAATAAAAGTATATGAGAAAAAATTACCCATTTACAAAACTCGAGTCAAAAATAATTTCATACCGCCATTAAGTTTTAAAATTCTAATTTTGATTTTTTTCGCCTTGTACAAAAAGTGGTGCTATATATACAAAAAACACAAGATCACAGTGTACTTACAATTACAAATCAGTACAGCACACTATAAACATCAGTAGCTTGTAGGTGACACACCACTTACTTTAAGTACTAAAAATAAGCTTTCACTGACACTTTAAGATACGTTACGAGCTCTCCAGTTCTAAATAAAGACGATTCAAAAATATTCAGACTTTCAGAAATGTTTTCTTGGAGCGCATGGAATTTCGCTAAATTGGCGTCATTTTCAGGAAGCAAGTAGCTGCCAATACCTTCATAATTAAAAACGCTTAAAAAAAAAAACTCACCAGGAATGTTAAGTTTTGTCATGCTGCGATGAGTATTCGTAGTTTGTGGTGTATGTAATCGTCCAGTACTTCTCGAATCACCCAATTTAGCTCTACGAGTATATCCACCTTGTTGTACAGGAGTATTTTGCTGGACTCCGCCTACTTTAACAATGGTGACACCGCCAGATGTCACTTGGTTTTGTACACTGTTATTATAACCGATTTGATTACTACTGCAAAAACGTACACTGCATCACTGATACACAAACGAAAAAACAATGTACCTAGTGTGATGCCTCTGTCTCACTCCAGCTAAAACTTTATCTGTGAAAAGTACTGGATAAGAACTGCACAACATCGTCGCTTCTCTTAATAATGTGCTCTGTGAACCTCTGTCAGCTTTCGGCAGACATTCGAGGACGAAATTTAGGGCATCCTGTGCTTGATCCTGAAAAAAAAAAAAAACAAAAACGTAAAGTAAATAATATTTCATGGTCACTACACACTCGAACTAGGTCTGAACATACATACCTTACTCAATTTTCCAACCGCTCCGATAATCTGAGCAGCCAAACATACGGTTTGTGGATGCCTCTGTGCAGACTGTTTCATAGCGTTTACATGGTCTACCAACAACGCTGGTTTCTTTTCGGCCATGTGAAGAAATATTTGTAAAGTTGGTGATGCTGTTACTGAACTATTCAAATATTCGCAAAGTTGGGGCACACTGGCTTCCAGCAGCTACAAAATGGTGACTAGTAAAAACACAAATTGTTAATTAAGCGCATACCGAAGGATTGTCTTTCGCCATTAAAGAAAATAGGTGCAACAATGCCAATTTTTCTTGAGTGTCACAGTGCGGAAGAAGCGAAACTAACGCCATTGCGTGGCCTTGGAATGGTTCCGGGGACACCTCGTAGATGTTTGGTAGAACTCTACAAAGTGGGTAATTGCCTAAAACAAGTAACTGGAGGCATAATAACGTGGTCTCCAACGACTGTTTTAGGAAAATCTTTATTCAAGTAAAAGCAAACACAAAAAGTAATCACAGAATGAAAAGAAAGACAAAAAAGAACACAAAAAGAAATCGCAGAAATATAGACGAAGTGTTTGCAGTGTTTTATTAACGCATCTTACCTGAGATAATCGAATCCATAATCGGCTGCACATGTGGAGTTAACAAGGAAGCGTGTTCAATAGCCGCCAGAGACAAATACGAAGCCATGTTCCTCGACAACTCTCGATTTCCCTTATGCAAGAATTTAACAGCTACAGGTAAGGCACGTTGCATCACAGATCTCTTACTATAATTCTGTAAAAATGTATTTAAAAAGTGCTCGAACTCAAAAGTAAGTACCATACTAGGAATATACAAGAAATAATATCACTGGAGATTTTTGCATGCGGTGGATCTTCATCGCGTGATGTTAGTTGAAGGTTATGGTGCAAGCAAGACTCCAGAAGTGCCACAAGTGCATCACAGTGCTGCTCAACACTCCCGGTCTCCCGAATACATGAAGTGACTCGTGTAACGCAGATTTCGACCACGCTTTGGTCATTGTTGTTGTTGACGTAATCGGGAAGGGATATGATGAGCGTGATTTCTTTAAGCTGTAATATTGATGGTTGGTTAGTTTCTTACATTTTCTTTCTTTATTTAACAAAATTAAAATGTTTATGTTGTATCAACGTTTCATAGCGCCTAGAATATGAAAAAGTAGGTGCTCCGCACCGACAAATACAGCGCGAAACATGCATTTTCGTATTTTAAAAGATACGAAAAATCAAGAAAACATGACATTTTACATTAGCTAAAATGTCCCTTTTATAACCATTTCTTAGTTATCACTCAAAAGATTAAGTGTTGACAATTTTATCGGGAGATATCAATATGATTGATCATGTGTGGTTTGGAAAATTTAAACCGATCATAAAAATACTTATATTAACTTTTATGTTTTTGAATTGTTTGTGGTATAAATTACACCGATGATGTAACTTATTTACATACTATTTCAAAGAACACTGTCATGTTGAAGTCACCAACAACCAGTTTTTCCTGACGAGCCCATTTTGAAATTTATTAAATGTCTTGAAACACTCTTTACATTATTATTTACATACACGTGTTTGGTTTTGCATGTATGTATTTATTTATTTTTTGTATTACTGCTAATTTTTATAACTTTTAAGACAAATAGCGATTATCAACCTGTAGACGTGAGAGTGAAACAGAAACTAAACTAAAAGATGTTTTCTACGAATTGAAATAACCGGGTCACAATGCCGACGGTCCAGAGTTTTTTATTGCTCTGACTTCCGCTTATTGAATAAAACACTACATTTTATTTTGATTTTCGATGTTGTAATTCACATTTCATTAATTATAACTTATCTAGATCTAGAGGAGGCTCAGCATCCCCTAGCCTCCCTCCAGCTACGGCCTTGTCTCGGAGTTATGAAATATCGAGAAAATATGAAACTACCAAATTGCCCGGCGGACTTCATTACTGTACGTCCTTGGGTTATCCTCAATAAAAAAAAAAACAACTTTGAAAGTGTTTATGTTTATACATCGGAAAAATGTCACGTAGAAATTTTTTTATTTGAATGAGTTCGTCCCCTCAAAACAGAGGATCAAAACTATTAAGTAGTAAGCTACAATCGACAAAATCTTCTGAATATCATTATTTTATTTCTTATTAAATAAAAGTGTTTGTATTTTCACATTTTCCGGAAAATGGGGCGACTCGTTCTTAATTTGATCAATAAAAAATATAAATGCAATAATTATACTTTTCAAAATTTTTTACATTATCAATTTTATAATTATAGAATTTTTTCACTTTTCAATTATAATCAATTTTTTTCTTTATTCGATTTTTCAATTTTTCGATTTTTAATTTTTCAATTTTGACGATTTTATAATTTCTCAATTTATTTATTTTTCGACTTTTCGAATCAAAAACCGGAAAAATTGCAAAATTATGAACATGAAAAATCAAAAATGAAAAAACGAAGAAGTATTAATGAAAACTTCAAAAAACCTAGAAACTGGAAATCCAAAAATTAAAGAACCGTAAAATTGAAAAATCGAAGTATTAAAAATTGAGAAAGTTAAAAATCAAAAAGTGCACAATTAATATAATAAAACGTAATATTAACTAATCTATAACTGAAAACTAAAGAAATCGGATAATTAAAAAATCCAAAAATTGCAAAACTGAAAAAAAATTAAACTCTGGAAAAACCAGGAATTGGAAAATCAAAGAGCGAAAATTTGAAAACTGAATAAACGAAGAATTTTGAAATGGAAAAAACTTTCAAAAAATAAAGGAAATGAAAAAACGAAAAAAAAATCATGATATAAAATCGAGAAAATGAAAATGAAAAAAATCAGGAAAATGAAAAATAAAAATGAAGAAATTGAAAGGTTGAGGACACGAAAAATTAGAATTGAGAGCCTGGAAAAACAAAAAATAAAAAATTTTAATACTGAAAAATTGCAAATCGAAAAAATGAAAAAAGTGATATCAAAAAATTTGTCGAAGGTATATAATATGATAACCCTTATAAATTAAAATAAAGATATGTATATAATGTTCAAGTAAATGTAAAAAAACGTTTATATATACCATACTACATATAAGTAATTGTAAAAAGTATTAGTACATTGATAAACCACAAGTGTAGAGTAAAAATATTTTGCATATTTCAGAGAAAGATTAGTCAATGTTTGGCTGCGTTTTACCATATACATGCAAAATTTGACAATAATCGGTCCAATAGTTTCAAAAAAACATCTGTCTAACAAAAATCCGGACAGACGGCAGACAGACAGACAGACAGACAGACGGAAACGGAGAGTAGGAGGCGGCCGATAGACTCGATTACAATACTTCCTTGGCCTCGAGTCGAGAAGCACAAATCTATATAATCATATTTTACATATTTTGGGTAGAATTTCTTCGGCAAAATTTTGAGATGACGTCATCAATTTTTTGAGGGGAATAAACAGATTTATTTTGATTAATCATTTACCATGTACACAATGACTTTAAAACGTCTGCAAGATTTCAAAGCATTCAGTTTTGCAATTCTTAATTTTTTCAACAAAATAAATTAACTGATTTATTAATTTTTTTGAGTCACCCTGTATAATCAAATTTAAAAAATATGAATGCAATGATAAATTAGAAGTATAGACTGATCATATTTTGCACATTTTAGATAGGATTTGTTCAGCAAAATTTTGGGGTGACGTCATCAATTTTTTAGGGGAGATGAGCAAATACATTTTGATCAAAAATTTACCATGCTTATGATAACTTTAAAACATCTCCAAGATTTCAAAGCATTTGATTTTGTAGTTCCTGATTAAATCAATAAAATTAATTCACGCATTCATTAATTTCTTTTTGGGCCACCTGTATAAACAAATCTAAAAAATATGAATGCAATTTAACACCTTTAAATTTCACAAGCTTTTACAAGATTAATAGGGGCAAAATCAGTTTTATCTTAACAAGTACCAGAACCGCCCACCCGCCCCTATTTTCTCAGAGGATATGTTATTTGCCGAAATAAGTCTTATCTCACCAAGTACTAGCCCCACCCACTCACCCTCTCTTTTCTTAGAGGATATGTCATTTGCCAAAATCAGTCTTATCTTATCAAGAACTAGCCCCACCCACCCGCCCCCTATTTTCTCAAAGGAAATGTCATTTGCCAAAACAAAACTTATGTTAATAATAGCCCCGCCCACCCGGCTTTTATTTCCTCAGAGGGTAGTACTTGCTAAGATAAGTCTTATTTTGGCGAATGACATATCCTCTGAGAAAGTAGGGGCGGGTGGGCGGGGCTAGTACTTGCTCAGATAATACTGATTTTGGCAAATGCCATATCCTCTGAGAAAATAGAGGGCGGGCGGGCGGGGCTGGTACTTGCGAAGATAAGACTGATCTTGGCAAATGCCATGCCCTCTGAGAAAATAGAGAGGTAAAGAAAATTATATTGCAATTATTTTATTCAGTTTTAATTTTTTTCTAAAAATTCTGGACGTCTATTTTGAAAAAGTACAAGAGTATCTTATTTTATGAAATTAAATAACTTTTAATTATAAATTTTAGAGATGACGTCATCAAATTGTTGGTGGGGCTAATTAGCAAAATTTTGGTTAGTATTTAACCATCTACATGATGTTTCTAACATATGTGCAAAATTTGACAACAATCGGTCCAGCAGTTTCGGAGATTACGTGTCCAACAAAAATGGATACAACTAGACAGACAGACAGACAGACGGAAACGGGAGACCACTTTTTTCGTACTCTAGAGGTCATGACACGTCGAGAAAATATGAAAGTGGCAATTCGGTCGATGGACTCAATTACTATACTTCCTTAGCTTACACTCGGAAGGTAATAAGCTTGTCTTTTCTTTTAAAGTCCATCAATTCTGTTCACTTTCTTTACCAGGAGCCTCAAAATCTCTTTTTTTTTTTTTTGTTTTAGAAAACTTAGAATAAGAAAATTCCAAATCCGGTACGTCTGTCTGTTGGTCTTTATACAACAAAATTTTGTGTTAGGTTTGGAAATTTAAAATACCCTAGATAGAACACTTAAAATTTCAGAGTAACTGATTCGTTAGTTCCCTGAATAATCTGACCAAAAAAAAAAACTGTTACTTTCTTATTTGAGCCATGAACTACCCAGAAAATATGCAATTAGCCTTTCTGTTAGTGAAAAGAAGTAGTAACGTATTTTCACGGAAAATTTAACGCATTGTATCTACACTATAAAAATTCCAAAATCAAATTTTACATTTTTCAAAAAAGCTCCATGTTGTACTGTACTTCAGAGGTGCGGGAAGTTCTGTCTAAATAACCTTGGACCAACTCTTTTCTAAGAAATTTAGTTCTATTTTATACGTCATGTCATATTTTATAATACCCGTAGATTTGTATTACATGTTATATTTTCAATTCCAGAATACACTTTTTTTTCCACAATCTAATCATTTTTATAAAGTAAACATTAATTCTTCAAAATCTTATTAGCATAGAACATTTCTAAACGAGTAATGATTAGTGGTCTATTAAGAAAACACCTATTAAATTCAGTTGGCAAAATTGGAGTAGTGTGTCAGAAATGTCAAATAACTGAAAACATAATCACTGATAAGAAAAATGAAATTGTTTTTAAGAAAAATGTGTGTAAAATTTGCTCCAAACACACCGGAAGTTGTAATAAAATAAAAGCTGATAAAAGATAGTAAAATCATATTTAAATTTTCAATAATGATTCAGCTGTCACCTGACAGTTATGATACTTAATACGTATTTATAACGTCTATCACGAGCGCACTGTGGCCGATTGTATTGGTGGATTTTTTACATTATGAAGTTGTATTATTAAAGATCATTAACGTTTATATGCTAATATTACCACAATAAATAGTTTCAAGTTTTATAAGGAATTTACCACATGTTAATCCTAGTGTATTTTACTTTCACCAACATAAGGCAACAGTTGGTAGATTCTAATAACTTCTAAAGGAAGATACGTATATATTTTCTTTTAAACTAAAATAAATAACAGATATTAAAAACAACGGAAACGAGAACAGAACTTAATTGTTTTGGTTTTACCGCCCACTTTCACTAATTATCATTTCAATTTAATTTGATTTTAATTGTTGTAACAGTTTTAAAAATTTTGAGGTTATAACAAACATTTGTTATTTTTATTCGCCAGTTTGATCTTTAAACCTCAGATTCATCTGGTGATAGTAAAATTTGAAAATTTGCTCCCTTTCATCTAAAAGCTCAAACAATTCAATAATTAAATACCTTTCTGAACTCTGTCGAAAACAGAGACTGGGATAATTCACATATGTTACTTCAAAAGCAGAAGTTAAAATTCCATGGACGGAATTATAATCAACTGCTAACACCACAACAAAACTTCTTTCATAGCCTAGTCCTTAATTAACTTAATTCAACAACTTACAACGTTAGTTAAATCGTTAACTATTATAGCATCTGGAACGGAAAACAAATCCCCAGCTCTCGAAAGGTCCCGATTTTTGAGCACTTGCATGAAGAGCTCATGCATTTTCCTGTTAACTTTCTCTTCCATCGTCCCCATCACACTGCAATGTTGTGGTTTACATGTAATTCAAACATTTACCACAAGTCCTCACCTATCTAATCTACCATTTACATATTCCGATATTAGATAACAATGAATGCGAGATGTTGCCGAACGTGTCCAGGGCACTGTTTCACTTCATTTTCTATTCATTCACACATTTTTTTTCAACTTTTACGATTCGATATCGCTTCTTCTCGCCCGTCTTGCATGAAAACTGTACAGACACATATTTCTGGATAGTTCATTGACTTCTCTAGCGAAACAAACGTAAAAGTTCAACAGGTTTACTACATTATTTTCACAGGTGGTTGTGGCGAGGGCAGTGCGCATGTGCGCAGGTGTGGATTAGGTAACAACGTTTGAATGTACGGAAAATGGGAAAGGACTTTTCTTTACGGTTGTGGCAGGGAAAAGTTGGGAGTACTTCTAGGAAAGGACTAAGGATAAGCGCGACTGGGTGAATGATAAAAATAGATGAGTATGTCAAGGTTGAAAACGGAATCAGAATATGGGCTTGGCGCAGTTTAGATACCGTTATTGAACGGAAGACCTCTGAGCTAGATCCTCTGGCACATTTTGCAACTTTTTTTGGAATAGATTGCATTTACAACGATTATTTAGAAAAACTTGTTTTGGTGCGCAGAGGAAGAAACTTAAGTCATTTTTAGAACCATAATTATAGGTCTGTCATATTAAACGGTCATTTCAGCGTTTGTCATGCTTTATTAATGGAAAATGATCAGTCAAGAAGCTTAATATGTCATTAGATCACCAGAATGGTATTTCGCCAATGCAATCATTAAAACCACATTAAAGCCTTAATTTATGCTTACTGTAGAACTCAGGAACAGAGAAAGTTGCCTAATCAGTCGCATACACAACTCAATTTTCAATTTTTTTTAGATAATATGTACTCTTTATCGCATTTTTTTTTTGTTATGCCAATTAATGTGAAACAATTATGGATACAATTTAATAACTTTGCACAACAATAAAGAAAATTAATGTTTTTCAACAATATCCTTGCGAATCTACTCCATTGTTGCAAATAAATAAGATCTCTGCAACTGATTCTGCACAGATTATTTGTTTACGATAAACCATGATATGAGTGTTAACAAAAGTTGTCAACTCCTTCTTTAAAATCAATCGCTTGTACAAAAAAAAAAACTTGTAACATGAATATTTAAAAGCGAGATTGATAAAAGTCGTCATCTAGTTAGTGCTACATTTTTAACTGTTTTTCTCATTCCTCCTTGTAAGTAATAGACAGTGAAAAATACAACTCGTTCATCCGAACTGGGGACGTTTTTTGTTGATCACACCTTGCATATTCATCGTTAACTGCGTAATATCAAATTGGCATAATTACGATTCATTACATAACAGTTGGTGTAAAAATTGGTTTAAATAACATCATTTTTCAATCATTTCAATTTCCAGTTGTGTTTAACAATTAGAGAAAATTTGTATTCTAAAAGATTATTTCCGTCTTTGTACTGTGCGATAGAAAGTGAAATGAATTTTAATTGGTTGTGACATAAGGTGGTTCTTCTGCACAATTGACATCAAATCATTCTGTTAACTGACTTATAGTTAAGCAACAGAAAAGTGGCAAAAAGTGATGAGTGAAAAGTTCTGCTAGCATTGGTTTATATGAAATTATGAGCAGTAGTATCATCCAAAATTTGAAGGTAAAGCCAACTCTACTTAATAATTTTATTTTTTTATTAAAACGATTTAAGTTACGGTACAGAATAGAGATCGTCTCATGATTATTTGTATACTTGGTTACGGCTAGTGTACGTAAATAACATAATGATAAGAGTAGAGCAAACACTGACAAGCGACAGCAATTTTTGATACAAAACTAATGCCAAAAGGTCAATGGCGTTATTAGGAAAATTTTAAATAGGGGCTACTATTGAATTAGTGGTATTAAGCGTATTTACATAATATAATAAACAAAATATCGAAGATAATAATGTCTTATCTTGAAATTTGTCAGTTAAATAGTTTTAATATAAACTCAGGAAATTTTGGACAACGAAACTCTTACTCTTTATTTTTTTCAACCAAATCCCTCATTGCATGGCTTTTGCTGAATTTTATTCTTTGTTTTTTTCTTATTTCTTCTTTAGCTTTTCTGGTATAGATTTTCAGATGGTAAACTATAATACTTGCAGTAAATTTTGTTTTGCTGTTGCAGCATGTTGGAAATTGTATTGAGCGATAAGTCGAATTTTTCCTAATTTCTTTCTTTATGACTTCCAAAACATTACCAGTGCGAAAATCATTATCCTTTAAATAATCTCTCAAATTACAAAATATTTGCTCTACTAAAATTGCAATTTGGGACGCGTTCTTTGAAGCGTAATATAAAGCACCCAGTTTTATATTCTTTTAATGCCACAAATTTTGCATAATTTTCATTACAATTCTTCTTAGAGACCAAAGCAACAATACATTTTTTGCAAAAATTTTAATTTTTTATCAAGCTTTTAACAACGTAACCTGTGCAGCTGCACAAAGCATTTTTTTCTCTCAAAGAAAATTCTTTTTTCTTCAAATTCCAATTTCTAGGTAAAGCTAAATTTTCTTTTCCTTTAGGAACACCGTTTTCTTTTCTGTTATTATTTTTAATATAACTCAAAAAACCAACTAAAGGTGTTGTTTTGTCGGTTTCGTAACTTAAGTTATTTGAACCGTCCAAATATTGAGAAACTGATAAAAGTTTTAAGTCATATATAAATAGACAGCCATATTAAACTTGCTCAAGTCCAAAATAGTCGATCTAGAACTAATCAACTGAAACCACCTATGTACAACATCAATAAAAACAGCTGTCGTTAGAGAAGATTGGTCTTCTCTCTCCTCTTCGCCATCAAATTTTATTCCACAACTAACATTTCGATTCAAAACGTTTCGAGAATTTGACACCTTCATTTTGTTAAAATGGTTAGATTGTAAAAAATCCACAGCTCAAATTTGCCTTCTTCTTCTTTTTCACAAACATCTTTAATGTGTTGCACGTCAACCAAATCAGAAGTTAGTTTATATTTTTCAACAAAATCATTTGGTAGTTGAATGATTTTGTTTTGTACCAAACATTGCATTATATTTTTTAATAAATGTGGCCCATCTGCTAAAAAGTAATTTTTTTCGCGTGGATGCGGGTGTCCCCATAAAGACCACTATTTAAAAATAGATTTGAGCAAATGACATAACAAAAAAATCTGTCAGAGTGTGCTCCGCTTTCGGAATTTTGTGCTTTTATTTAACAATTAAAATCCAAATACCATTATGCTTAATTCAAGTCATTGATTATTGATTAAATAAAAAATGTGTTCCCAGATTACATCGTCAAATTCAAGGATAGGGCAATAACTTAAGTAAAAACATCCAGAACTTTAGATATATGGTTGCTAAAATAAATTGAGTGTGAATAAGTGAATTTCCTGTGTTTTATGGAAACATTTCCGTTATTATAGTTAAATTGTATTAGAACCACGAACAGTAAAAACTGAACAGGAACTGTGAAATTGCAAACGATATTTCAGACTAAAAAATCTTTAATTAACTGGTCTCACACTATTTATTCTCGTTGAGAGGGACAGTGGCTCGAATGCGATTCATTTCTGTTTTGGTGAAATTATAAACAAAACTCTACTTGCCAATTTTTAATATATGTTAACACTAGCACTGCAAGATGAGAAGAATGGTCAAGAGACGCTTCTAAAAACTGTGTAAGCTATTTTCCAAAAATCTCTAAAAACTGCTATCAACCTATAGGGGTTCCACTCAGCATACATGGTTGCCTACGTTATTGGATGAGTTGTATTTAGGAAAACGGTTATTGGTCTTCGTCACTGAATAAATACTGAAATAAAAAAATGTTATAAGTTGAATGTCAACTGTGAGTCGTTGTAATGAAGACACCTCACTATCTCAGTTTCATTACGGCCCTGTTCACGGTTTATCGATCTTCTAAATTTTGACCAACACTATGAAATTTATGGTTTTACGGATTACGAGCTTAGGTTGGTTAATTTTAGGTTGTAAAACTTTATTAGCATGCAAAAATAGTATGATTACAGTAACCGAAAAACCAAAGAACCTGAAGCATATGCAGACTGCAAAACAATCACAGTTAGAAACTCTATTTAAAAAAAAAAAAGATAAAAATAATTTGGGTATCGTATTCTTCATTAATAAATATTTTTGTGAAATTAAAATTCTAGATAACTAAATGTGAATGTTGTTAATTGCTTTCTAGATACTGACTACATAAGCAATACTTCAGAGACTCGATTTGATTAATCAGTTTTCTTTAAAAGCTATTTGCTACACGAGGAAATTAAACTTGTGCAATCCACTTAAAATAACTAACAAATAACCACCGGATTTACACACATTGATGTTCCTACAAATAGTTCTCATTTCGCTTCGTGGGTTTTCAGATATGTATAAAAGCGATAAAACACCCACAATATGAAATTTTGAGTTTTGAACGTCAGAAATACTTCTAAATGTAATTTCTCTTAATAGGAGAGTTAAGTATTTGATCATAGTATAAGTATATTGACTTGTTTATTTATTTTAATATGTGCACCAATTTCCCAGTCAACATGATGCCGTTTTCACGAGAATAAATGTTATCAATTACGTCATTGTCACCGAAGATTTCACGCGATATTGACGTACCAGTGACGGTCAAATGTTTCGTCCAGATGACGTCATTTTGTAACGAACTATTGACGTGATGTATTGACGTCTGAGAGACGGCATTTACTGTCCATTTTAAGACGTTTTTTATGTTTTGATTTTTAGAAAAAAAAATGCAATAAATAAAACGCTGAAATAATTTTATATTTTTATTTTGTTTACCTTAAATAAAATATTGAAATTCGTTATAATCACCAGATAAACTCCAAAACAAAATATATATTAATTAAAGTTAAAACAAATTAGTGTAAAAAAATTTTTACTACAGTTGTGTCAACCAACAATGAACTTCAAAAAACAAATCAAAAAATATATGTCAATTAAACAAATTAAAGATAAACCACTCTTAAGAACACAAATAAATCTGCATACAGGTAATTACGAGTATAATTAGTATAAACAAAAAAAAGGATAATGTACAATATATAACCAAAAATAAACGTTGCAATAAAATATGCTATTTAAAGAAAAATCAGTTTTAAAAACTAGAATAAAGGGAAAAGAGAACTGAATCGCATTGTTGGAGTTAATTGATTTGAAAATGTACTGTAAAAAACTATCTCATTCACGACGACTTGACTGTCCCCAATACACTGTTTTAACAACCATATTAATAACCTAAGTTTTTTAAGTTTGCCTCAATTTATTGCACAATCATTTTTTCGTCTGTGGGCAATAGCACTTGGCTATTATTAAATTTAAGAGATTACAATTTAAATCAGAAGAAAAATTCTGCACTTTAAAAATGCTAAATTTACTTTAATCTAACGGATAATCGTAAAATAGTTGCATTGACAAAAACGTATAGCCTATCAGGAAAATCTCGTTGTCGATACTTTTTACAATGTAGCGAAATGTGCCAGGTATAGTAAGTGACCAAAAAGTATCGTAAAAGATAATCTTCTAATTCGCCAAAATTTGTTTAGCTGTGGTGTTGGCGGCATATCTTTTACTTTTGTTTTCTTTTTCAGTTGTCAGATTTCATGACGTTTCCATGTTGGAGATTTTTTCACTCGTTTCCTTTAGCATTTCTTACGTTTCACACATGTTTTTTGTATTGGTTTCAAGTCTAGAGTAAAATTATGTTCATTAGATTTTCAAAAACTACCACAGCAAGTTATTGTTCATAATCAGCGGGAGTATCTTCAGTGATTAATGATGGTCTTTCCAGCTTATCTGAAAAAACTGCTTTTGTTATCTAGGTACGTACAGTTATCAAAAATAACAGAAACACGTAAAAATTAAAATGATTACTTTATTAGATATTAACTTACTTCGTGTAAATACAACCCACATTGACTGGTAGAAATTTTCACAAAATTGCGTTAAAAATGAAGTGAGTAACGGATACACGAGAAAGTTTCGGTGATTGAGAACCAACTGGAATGGAAATATTGGAATTCTAAAGCTCCACTGTGAAGTGCAACAAACATAAATGCCGAAAAAAGGGAAAGTCCGAATGCACGCCCCAAATATCTGATGTATTGTATAGTAAATATGGAAGTTGAGCATTATTTTTTCATTAGATGAAATAAATTTAATAAAACTAAAAATGAATTACTCTCTAATTTTTTTGGTTACCATCATCACTTTATAAACGTCTTTATAAAATCAAAATTCGACAAATGAACTTTTCAAAACCTTGTCCCGTTTTAGGGACAATGGACAATGGACGAAAAAAAACACTGCCAGTGTAAACACGTTTTTAGAAATAATTATTAGAAATTATTAGAATGAAAAAACTTGACTTTGGTTTATTTCTAATAAAGCCGTTGTATTTTTTGCTCTAGATATAATTAAGCATTATGAAGGCCAGTTTTTAAAGAATACGACGACCCACATCTAATTGATCATATAATCTATAAAAAATGACGAAAAAAGGACGGCCTTTTGACGTCATTACTTGACGTCAGAAATAAGTCATAAAAATCTCGTCGAGTTATGACCAAAAATTGACGTGAAGACGACAGTCTGCTGCTTGAGTTGTTTCTGGAACCATTACCTTGCACTATGATTTGTCTCAATTAAATGACTTGAAAATTTACACCTCTTTTTTAAATTTAAACAGATATTCCTCGTAATAGGTCTTCCCTACAAATGTGTGGTGAGTACGTTCATGTTTGTATGTTAATTTTTAGTATGTAATATTTTCATGTTCTTTAACAAAAATACAGCTATATAATTTATGAATACTTATTAAAATTATATAACTAGTAGTAACAATAATTTAATTAATGAAATATGCACAATTTTTAAACGAGTGTGAATTTTGAATACAGTAGGCAACCAACTATACACGAAATAATAATTTGGACGAACCTATTATTTAAAAAAACCGACTGTAATTTTGATTAAAATTGTCTTCTATTAAAAGTGCAGCCAGACAAAACGCCGTCTGCGCTTAAATTTTCGGTTAAATCGCATTCTGAGTAAACACTTTTCGACTAATTTTTCATCGGATCTATTCGTAACTTGGCAACGTCGTTCTCAATTAGTCAATTTGTGGTCAATTCGCAGAATTCGGAAACGGCGGAACTAGTTAAAAAAAACAACCAGTGAGTGATTTTATAATAATTTAATCAATTTCTTATCGATAACCTCCCACCTGATAACCTGTCAGTACCAAATTAACACAAATTTATCAACACCTGCACAATAACATAACCAAACCGACATGAAGTTCCAAGGCAGCGAGGTCTTCTATAAATGTGATAAACGTCGTGATTAAATAGGTGACATTCATTCAAATTTACTGCCGTAATCGAATCGTAAATCTCCTGCAGTGCTCGAAAGTGTTATGATAGTCTACCAGCAAGTGTCTGGCAAGTGGTTGCAGCCATTATTTTGTAAATATTATTTTTAACCGTTTGATATTAAACTTGGGAAGCGCACACAACAATGGTAAATATTTGCGTAGGTATTAAAGCTAAATCCATCGCTTTTAATGTTAATTTAGTCGACTTAGCGGTTAGCCTTTGCGTGCTTTTAAATGCTAAAAATGTTATTTTTAAGTTTCGAGAAGATTATTTAAGTGTATGTTTAGTTAAACGGAGCAGACTGTAAATAACTTTAATTACTTGTCGTAAATATAATTTTTCTTTTTGATTTTTAGGGGGGTCTGGTAGCCACACATGCCTGTTGGAAATGGTGACACAGGTGGCCTAAATTTGGGCAGAACATTTAAAAGTGAAGTGATTGCTGCTACTAGAGGTTTGCAAGCTTACCGAAGAAACCAGGTATACTTCAGCAAATAATCCACCATACTAAAAATTTTGTGGTTAGGAATCACGTCCCCCCGTTATTCTGTCACTAAAAATCTGTGGCCAAAATACTAACCATCTGTAGTACTATTATAATATTATTGTTGGTACTTACTGCTACCATATTGACAGTTTTTACAGTAAATTGAATGTGTCAAACTACCTAGAATTAAGGTTCAGAACAGTTTTTAAATTTCTGATTTTTTTTTTATTCTCTCAGAAAAGGAAATGGCTTATAATAGTTATAATAAGTAAATTGAAGGATATCTTTTGGCAATAATACATGGCGTCTAAAATAAATTAAACAGCAGCTTTATTACAATTTTGGTTAATGATAGGCAATATTCCGATTATTTTTTAATTTTTATTTGTTTGTTTTCCATGCCCGCTTCTTGTGAAAAACATTTTGGATCATTCTGTATGGAATATAGGATGGATTTATAAACAGGCAAACATATTTTCAAATATCCCGCCAAAGTTTATACACTCAATTTTGATGTTATCCTGTAAGCTTGGACGCTAACTTTGTAGCGCACGTGATCACTCCGTGTGTTCGGTAAACTGACTATACAAGAACTTTGACCTTAAGGAGTTGACTTCATTGTTTTACAGAGAGTATAAATTAACAATAAAATATTAAGTAATAATTCAAATTATTGTATTATACATTGTTAAATATTGTCCATTTCAAAACTTGTCTCAAATTATTACGTAATATGGGATTTGGCATTTTTGAGATAGAGCTCATAATTTTCCCTAAATAACATGTTTCTACTGCTTGGTTAAAATAGCAACGCTTCGCAACGTTTTTCAATTAAGGCATCAATCGTTAGGTCTAAGTTAGTTTTTGCTTGGTTAAACCTCAAACGCGTAAATGGAATATTGTTTGATTTGAGTTCGGCGCACTTTTAAACAGACTATTACGTTAAACGATGTTTATTTTTTATACGAACGGTTGACCGAAAGATGGTTTTCTTGATAAATAAACTCGTAGAAATTTATAATATAAGTCTTTATAAAATTATTCGATTCTTATTGGCTACCTGCCATAAAACAAATTTGGCTGAATTTTCAATAGGAATATTTTTCGTAAGTGATAAATTAACTATTGTCCTTTGAAGATAAAAACAAAAATAAAACTGTAGTTCGTATTAATCTGAAACCATAAACAATGCCAAGGACTGGCACAGGAGTACTAGTTTATTAAGTTTTGGCGTCGGTTGTTATAAAAACGAAAATTTACTGGTACCTGACCTTCTCATTTTTGAAACAACAGACACTTTCACCTATCACAGAATGGCGCTGAAGAATACGGGAGTGTTTGCGATTTATAGCGACACGTCCTGGGCTACTTGGGATACAGTGTGTCAGTGTATATTAATAAACATCACAGTCAGAAATTCGTAGTTGGAAAAAAATGAACCAAAAGATTCTTTTACCAATATGGTAATCCAAATGCGACGCTACAGGTCGCAGAGAATGCTTATAATGTGATGCATACGTCCTTTTGGAAACTTATACATTGAGACTCTGGTTTAAAACTCTGGCAAAGATCAGTGTCGTTTTATATTTAACAAGTGAATATTTTTCTCTGTGTTGTGAACGTGTTAGAAATTGAACCTTTCTTCTTCTTATTTACAATGGCAATGTGTAATGGCAAGGTAAAGTTTAGCAACTTATGTTACGTTTTGGGGTAAATCTTATTTTAGTTTTTTTTGGCGGAATTTTTTGTTTGTTGATTTTAAAATTTCGTTCTAAGTATGAGAAATTCTTGTATATCTTAAAAAACCTAATTGTCATACAGCAAAATACTCTAGACGATTTCTAGTACTGTTCGTCTTGTCGAATTTCTTTCTTTTTCTGACTCGAAAATGATCGCAAATAAAATAATTTTCGTGATCATAGAATTACAGCATTCTACTATTATTCTTCAACATCGTCCTACTGCCATTAACCTAGTGTGAAAATCGTATCATTTATTCACACATCACCTGAACAATGACCTGATCTAGTTGCGCTAACCTACTTTGATTAACATGATTAAACTGCTTAAGTAATTTATAAACAATTTCCTGTTAGGAGAGCTTATTGAAATTTAAGATTGGTTTAGACAGAATTGAAATTTTTGGTTTTGATACGTTTTGTTTAATATGTTGAGATTGTTCACAAAACACACCTTCGACAGAGTCAACAAAAATATGCGACGCTTTTTGAGTGAACCACAGAAACATTTTCATTTATGTAATATTAGATTATTTTTGGAATTCTAACTTACAAAACCAAATTCTTCAGTGATAAGCGCTGATGTTAAATCATTGATAAAAAAAGGGTTCAAGACTGAACCTCGCAATACCCCTGACAGTCGTAGGAATGTTATGGTTTATATCTCTTGTTTCGTAACTGCAATTACAGTGTGATGGACCATTTCAAGGCCTGTTTTGATTATCCAATGATTTAGACAAATACTGTGTAATTATCGCCAAATTTGTGATGGGTGATATTCTAGCCACAAAACTATGTTGGTAAAAGGAAATATGATTAGTAGTGTGTTTTGTGTTTATAAATTTTTCCATGAAAACTAAAACTAAATTCAGTTATTTTCGAGAAATCGTATATCTGCATCTTTGAAAATTATACTATGAGAGGAAATACGAAAGGCTGATAAACCAAATTATAATTCAGCTGTTGGGTACAGTTCTTAATTTTAAGTAATATCGTTCTTTACGTATAGAGTATTAGGACCAGAGAACAAATATTTGTAGAATTTGAACTTGCTTTCGATTTGGAAAAATACTCAATAAAGCTGTTTATTATAAATATATTATCGATATCTATTACAGGCGGTATGGATGTTCGTTTAAATTTAATTTAAGAAAAATAAACATAAAAGCTCTTACGGTTAGTTTAAATTAATAATTCTCGAGAAAAACAGCTAAAAAATTTGCAGAGAAAAGTTTATTTAACGGTCCGTGGCCTTTACAGAAGCGAGTAAATTAAAAGACCGTTATGATTCCTAACATTCCTATTGTGAAAAGATAATGGCTTGCCAGTTCAATGTTTGTTGTAAAAACATTTAATATTTTTACCAAAGTCAAGAATCGTCAATATAATATAGGTTTTTCCTTTAATTTTACTTGTAGTTTAAAAAGTAATCTGAACGTTAACTAACAGAAAAAAACTCAATGTGTATACTGTATACAAAACTGTATCCCAAAAATGTTATTAAGTATATTTGAGTTTGTAGGAGTTTATACAATGTAAAAACTAAAAATTGCGAAGTGATCTCATTGTATCAAAAAGTGGCGATTAATCCAAACAAAATTGTCGTCATCACTGTCGTTACTTCAGACCAGTTGTTATTTCCAGTTTTATTCTTCGTTCCTTGTGTGTCATTTTAAACCTTTCTTTATATTGAACACAATTTTGCAGGCTATTCCAACATGCATAGATCTGTCTCTTCGTCAAACTTTTCATTGCTTCCGTTGGTAAGTTTGTTACAAGTCTTATTAATTCTAGCGTCTCGGTAAAAATTTATTTAGTGTCATACGCACAAGCATTTTCTCCTATAGCATTTGAAATAATCGTATTCTCTCGACTCTAATGCATTTTTGACAAGTTCACACTTCTTAATTTTTCTCCCAAAATTTTTCGATTACATTTTCTTGACACTTGATATATCATTTAGTTAAATTGTTCTTAAGTGTATTGTAAATTCCGATTTTATTTTTTTTAACTGATTTAAAATCGCCGAACAGACAGCTTTCCAATTGGTTAGAAAACACGTGGCTTGCAATTAATTTTAAAGCATAACTACTCTAAAATCACAACTCCAGCATTCCAAGGTTATGACCATAGACCAGTTGTTTACTAGTCTGTGGTTATAACCTTAGATCATATAATAAATTATTATATGATCTAAGGTTATAACTCATTCTTGCAGATTTGTTGTGGTTACGTGCAGGTGTGCATATTTGTGGTATTCACGATTGTGTAGTATTGATCAATTTAAACATTGGTTTTTAATTATTTTAATAAAATCAGCATTTTTCATGAGTATTATTTTTTATTATACTGTAAAATGAACACCGACCCAATAGGGCCGACCAGATTTTCAGCCAGTGATTGGAACAATTACTTTTAAAAAGTAATGCATTACAATTACTCATTCAGTGACAATAGTAATTCATTATAATTACAAATTACTTTTTTTTAAAGGAATTCATTACAATCACTCATTACTTTTAAAAAGTGTGAGTAGTGTTTTTTTACGCTCATTTCAACGGTGTGGAGTAGTTTAGTACAATCGGACGGATACTTTTGGCAAAAATTTGAAGGAAGTTTATATGTATTTCCCTATGCTGGAATATGCGTTAGCTCACCCTTAAAATGATGAAGAGCTTATGTGTATTAAGGTCGATTTATAAACTTGCCGTTGACGTTGCCGTTGAAAGTTGGTAGGCCTTTGGGGATGACGTTCGAGAGGACCAACTTTTAACTTTCGCCGTTACGTTGTCGTTGACGTTGGGTTTTCCAACCAATCAAATTGCGGTGGTGTGCAGGGCTGCCAACTTGAAGGAAAATCCCTGAACTAGGGGGGACATTTTACTGGTTGACAGCATCAATTCCACGAAAATCAAATTTTGATAGGGATAATGAGGTACACTAATATTAAGCCATTTAATCACCTGTTCACCGAAACCCTCATATTTTAAATAGCTGCCATTATTTTCTACACTGTAACTTTCTGTCAGTACTTACTACATTGTTGAAGATAGTTCTCGACAAGACAAGATTTATTGTTATTTATCTCAAAAAAAAATTAGGTATCATAACTACAAGGGCTTAAATTTTGTCCTTTTTTCTCAAAATATGTGTGGTGGAGTCTCCTTTTCACAACAAGAAAGGTAAAACATGTTTAAAATAGTAATTTTTTGTAGGAAAGTATCGATTTTGTAATTAGGCTCCGCCCCTCGCTCTGACAACGAATGAAAAATGCATCACAATTGAGCTTGGGATGGGGCTTATATTTTGCGTTTTTTTTTTTTTTTTCTTAATATACATAGCCATCTTTTCATAACAAGAAACTTAAAACATGGTTAAAATGGTACATTTTTGCAAGGAAATATGGATTGTACAATTATGGGGCGGAGCCTAATTGCAAATCGATATTTCCTTATACATACAAATTTTCCATTTTAAGCATGTTACTGTTGTGAAAAGAAGTCTACACATATTAAAAGAAAAAAACCAAAATGCAAGCCCGCCCACCCGCCCTTTCTCAATTGTGATGATTTTTTTTATTTGGCGAGAACCAAGAGGGCGGAGCTTAACTGCAAATACTTATTTCTTTACAAGAAATGAAAAACATATTTCTGAGTATCGTGTTGTTCAAAGAATACTATGTTTATTAAGAACAAAAGGCAAAATATTAACCCCGCCTGCCCACCCCGTCTCAGTTGTGCTGATTTTTTATTCTTAGAAACTTAAAACACGTTTAAAATGATAAATATTTTGTAAATAAAAATGGATTTTGCAATTAGGCTCCGCCCCTAGATCTACCAACGAATGAAAACTTTATTACCATTTAGATCAGGGCAGGTAGGGGTGGAGCTTAATCTTTGGTTTTAATTTTTTCTTGTTTTCTTAACATGTGTAGTCATCTTTTCAAAACAAGAAACTTAAAACATGTTTCAAATAGTAAATTTGTATAAGGAAAAATTCATCACGATTGAGGTTGAGACGGATGGGTGGGGCTTCTTTTTTGATTTGCTTTTTCAATTCATACATTTAGGTTTCTTTGCATAACACGATCAATCTTGGCAAAAAATTTTCGGTTTTTCAGTTTCTCGATTTTTCAACTGTGGATGTCAATTTTTCAATCATTCAAGTTTGGTCATTTTCAATTTTTCTATTCTTCAAATTTTCGATTTCTCGATTTTTTTTATTTTCCGATTTCTCAATTTTCCGATGTTTCAATATTTCGATTTTTCAATTTTTCAAATTTTGGCGTTTCTAAATTTCTGAACTAATCTTTCGTTTTATTTTCCCAGTTTTCGACTTCCCAAAGTTTCGATTTTTTCAGTTCTTCAATTTTTCGGTTTTTCAGATTTTTTTAATTCTTCAATTTTTCGATTTTTTTAAGCTTGCGATTTTTCGACTTTGCTTTTCTAGCTTTTCGATTTCTCACTTTTCCAGTTTTTCAATTTTTCAATTTTTTTGATATTTCTTTCAGTCTTGGGAGTTTTCAATATTTCAATTTTTCGACTTCTCGATTTTTGGACTCCCGGATTTTTTGATTTATTGATTTTTTATTTTTTGGATTTTCAATTTTTCGTTAAATTTTAGATTTTTCAATTTTTCGACTGTTTTATACTTTGATTTCTCAATTTTTCAACTTTTCTATGTTTTAATTAATAAAACTCTAGGTTTTTCGATTTCTCGATTTTTCAACTGTGGATATCTGCATTTTTCAATAATTCAATTTTGGGCATTTTCAATTTTTCCATTCTTCAAATTTTTGATTGCTCGATTTTTTTTATTTTTCGATTTCTCAATTTTCCGATGTTTCAATATTTCGATTTTTCAAATTTTGACGTTTCTAAATTTTCAGTTTTCGGATTTCTGAACTAATCTTTCGTTTTATTTTCCCATTTTTCGACTTCCTAAAGTTTCGATTTTTTCAGTTCTTCAATTTTTCGATTTTTCAGATTTTTTGATTCTTCAATTTTTCGATTTTTTAAGCTTGCGATTTTTCGACTTTGCTTTTCTTGTTTTTTGATTTCTCACTTTTCAAATTTTTTAATTTTTCAATTTTTTGGATATTTCTTTCAGTTTTAGGAGTTTTCAATATTTCAATTTTTCGACTTCTCGATTTTTGGACTCCCGGATTTTTTGATTTATTGATTTTTCACTTTTTGGATTTTCAATTTTTCGTTGAACTTTAGATTTTTCAATTTTTCGACTGTTTTATACTTTGATTTCTCAATTTTTCAACTTTTCGATGTTTCAATTCATAACATTTTAGGTTTTTGGATTTCTCGAGTTTTTAGATATTCGATTTTTCCAATTTTTCTTTTTTAAAATATTTCGAGTTTTTAATTTTTTGATTTCTCGATTTATCGAATTCAGATGTTTAGATGTTTTGATTGTTCAATTTCTTGATTTATCAATTTTTCAGTTTTTAACTTTTCTTCTCGGCTTTTCACTCCTCGATTTCTCGATGTCTCAGTTTTTGAATTTTTCGGTGTTTCGATTTTTCGGTTATCCGATTTTTCAATGTTTCAATTTTTTAAATTCCGGAGTTTTGATTTCTCGATTTGTCAATTTTTCAGTTTTTCGATTTTTTAATTAATCTATTTTTGATTTTCCCATTTCTCGACTTCGCAAAGTTTCGATTTTTCGACTTTGTCTTTTCAATTTCTGGGTTGTCTAATTTTTTAATTTCTCAATTTTTGGATATTTGTTTCGGTTTGGAATTTTTCAATATTTCGATTCTTCGAGTTTTCGACTTCTAGATTTTTCGATTTTTATTTTTGGGATTTTCAGTTTTATTTCGGTTTCTCAGTTCAGGAGTCGATTTTTGGACTTCTCGACTTTTTGGTGTCCCCGACTTCTCATTCTTTTGATTTTATCAATTATCCGTTTTTTCAATTTTCCAGTTTTTTTAATTTTCGAGTTTCGTTTTCTCGATTTGTTCATTTTTCAAATTTTCGATTTTTAAATTTGAAATTTTCGAATTTTTATTTTTTGATTTTTTGATGTAGACATCAAATACTATTTTTTGAATAACACGGTACTCAAAAACATGTCTTATATGGTAATTTCTTGTAGAGAAATAATAAGAATTTTGCAATTAAATTCCACTCCTTTGGCTCTTGAGGATAAAAAAAATTATCACAATTGAGATAGGGCGGGTGGGCGGGGCTTATATTTTGCCTTTTTTCTTAACATGCTTAGTCATTTTTTTAAAACAAGAACTTTAAAGTTTAAAATGGTAAATTCTTGTAGACAAATATGGATCTTGCAGTTACACCCCGCCCCTCGATCTGACAACTAATGAAAAATTTATCACAATTGAGAATTGAGATCGGGGCGGGTATGGGTGGGGCCTAATCTATGGCTTTATTTTTTTCTTAATATATGTAGTATTCTTTGAACAACACGATACTCAAAACCATGTTTTTAATTTCTCGTAGAGAAATAAGGATTTTGCAGTTAAGCTTCACCCTCAGTTATTGTTATTAATGAAACAGTCAAATTTAGTTTGTTGTTTTCGGAAGTTATCTCATTCTGGTCGACTATTTTTAACGAAAATTATTCTTATAGTGTCGTCATAACTTTGAGGAAGTTAATTGACGCATTGGCAGTGACTGGTGATTTTCAAAGTTCTATTATTAACAAGTTCTACCGTTCCGTGAGTTATTTTAAGCTTAAATTTTTTTAATTTTCATGATAAATATTCATCTACATTATTGTTTTCGTTTAAGAGGGGCTATTTTACTTGCTTTGACGTTAGGAATAATGTACTTCATATGACCACTGTGTATAATAAATTAGTAATGAGTACTACTGACAGTTTCGTTCCGATTACTCGTGCTTATAAAGTAGGTACTGATTAACAATACAAACTTCCTCATCCGTTTGATAAATTATAAACTCATTCTCAGTTTTAAATTTATTAAGATGAAAGGGATTTTATTACTTACGTTTAACGAAGCTTTTTTATGTTTCGTATTTTTTATTTTCAACTTTTAACAAATTAGTTCCACTTTTATTGTTAATTATAGTGGTGACTCGGTCGCAAATAAGATTCATAAAGAAAGGAATGTAATCACTAATCAGTAAGCGTGACAGCTAAAGGTGATTGTGTTACCAACTCTTGTATTATCAATGATAAGGTTAGTTTTTCGGTGTTGTTTCAGTAACTGACGTAGATTTCTAGTATTTGTTATTTGCTCTATGAGATATAAGAAGCGGCAGACGATAAAGAACAACATGGAGAAAACAGTGTAAAGAAAGTATCCACAGCGGACATAACAAAAATTGAATCATCATCAGACGCAATGGTTTTAGCTTCCTTTTACATTATTAGATTCCATATAAAATAAAATATGTAGTGAAGTTTTCTCAAATAGTAGAAAAATTATAGGTATAATAAAATTGTCAAGAGACGACAGTCAGACGGAAACTGGAAACCCAAATTTTCATGTTGCATAAGCTGTGAAACATCGAAAATATATGAAAGTAGATATTCTTATTACAATATTTCCCCAGTTGAACACCAAACTTTAAAAAATGTTTTATTCCAGTGCAAGATGTCCCAGTCCGGGGGTGACCTCCACACATCCCAGTACTTATCATGGAGAAAACTTCACCTCAGTCGTGCCAAACTAAAAGCGTCAAGTAAAACCTCAGCTCTCCTTTCTGGATTTGCGATGGTAGCCATGGTAGAACTCCAGCTTCAAACTCCCGTGACCATTCCCAGTAGCGTTTTGGTTGTTTTTGCTGTTATTACTACTTTATTGGTTGCAGTACATATGTTAGCTTTGATGATAAGTACTTGTATCTTACCCAATATCGAGGCTATATGTAGTTTAGATGCCATAAGTCTTGTTCATGAGTCGCCTCATGAAAGACTGCACTGGTACATAGAAACGGCTTGGGCATTTTCGACTTTGCTTGGTTTATTGCTTTTTTTGGCTGAAATTGCTATCCTGTGTTGGGTAAAATTTTACGATGTTAATAAAACTGCCGCGTGGTCGGCTAGCGTTGTTCTTGTACCTATTCTCTTCATATTTTTAGCTTTTGCTATACATTTTTATCGTTCGTTAGTTGCTCATAAGTATGAAATGACGGTGTCTGGGATACGAGAGCTCGAAAGGCTCAAAGAACAGATAGAGCAAGGTGATATGGAACACAATAGGGTTAATGGTGTTAACGATATGCTTTCAAGTGGTGTACATATTGTGTAGATAACCGGGATCTTGTACTACGAAGGCTGTGTACTATTTTGTTTTTATCTTTTGCTGTTAGGTGGAAGACAATCTGATTTTCCTTACTGGGGTTTTTACAATTTTACATGCGCTCTAGTAGAATTACAGTTACGGATATAGTTGTGGCATTCACAACACTTATTTTAACAGATGTAAATATTCTTAATATATTTTGTATGAACTGTGATGAACACACTATATTTTCACCTTTCCAGTATATGTATTTTTGAAAATAAAGTGAATTATTTATCTTATGGAATTTGGTTTATTTCAGAGGATAAACTCTTGTGAAGAGTTAAACATGATTGGACTATTTCTTGCAAAGCTTTCATTTGCCAAGTTTCGCATAGTTCATCAATGCCGACCAGTTTAACCTGCAATGACATACTTTAGACGATTTTGAAACAAGCGTATGTGCTACAAGCGTACCAGGTGTATGGGGTATTTAGTAGGACGACGAACGCTTTGGCGGTATCGAATATCTTTAAATGTACAGAAAACACATACATCTCGGGTCCAAACACCTTGTTGCTTTTGACCGGTTACAAGGTGCAGGAAAATGCCTTTTCCATGCTTCATATCCTCGTACCAACATCCTTCATACCTACTTGTGTCTGGTCTGATCAACATTCCCAAACCTTGCCTTTTATCCTTTACCCAGTCGCCAGCATAAAACTCACCGTTGGGATACCACATGAGTCCGTAACCGTCTCTCTTGCCATGTTTCCAGTTTCCAATGTAAACACCGCCGTCTCTGTATCTTCTTAAGCCAAAACCGTTCATTCTACCCCTTTTCCAATTCCCCCTATATTCGAGCAGAAAAACGTGATCTTCATTTTCGTAAGCCAAAACCCCGAAACCGTGACGAAAGCCGCGCTCAAAGTCTCCTTCATATAGTTGTCTTTCTCTTTTTGGTCTGTAACGTGTCAATAAGGCACCTTTTCCTGAAGCAAATACACAATAAGAGGAACATAACATGATTTTATAAAATAAATGTACCTGTTTTTTCGTCTTCTTTCCATTCTCCAATATACCTGTCGCCTACAGTATTAAAAATTGCGTGCCTCAGACCTTTTTTTTTACTCATAGTTTCTAGGATTTCCGATCTGGGTATCTTTTTCATTTCTTTTAGGAACGGCATTTTTAAGAGCGACTAATCAATAACATAATAATGCTAAATGATTTATGGTCCTCATTCACATAATGTTGGAGGAATCGATAGTGGAGACGGGATGACACCGATAGTTTTCGATAGTTGTGCGCTTAAGTTTCTTGAATGTTGCCCATGAAACTATTTTTAACTGTTTAATTTTAAAATATTTGCCCAAAAAAAACTAGTTTGACAAAAGTGTGAAAGTAATTTTGAAAAATAGTGATAGACAAACGGTGGAGTTGTCAATATTGCTGTTAATATTGTTGCTTAGCAATAATGTAAAAAAATGTGGTAGTTAATAAAACATTGTATACCTTGTAAAACGACAATTCCGTAACAATTTGAAATTTAATAATAATTGTTATTTGAGTGAAAGTCAGTAGATAACGCATGAAAGTGTCGCCACTGTAGATTTTTCGTGAGGAATGTATTTAAATCTAACTTAGATTTTGTCGGTTATATTTTAATTTTATAACGCTGATTATTATAATTGATAGCGACAGTATATTCACTATAAAGTAACCTTGGAGTTGCTAATAGGGAACTGGGTAGATTGATATACAGATGTCTACAATAGACAGAAATATTGAAATTCTGGCTTCTATTCTAAATCTGCGTCTTTTGTGCAGATGGCGGGACCGCCAGCTCGACAAGGAACCGCGCACTCTGCTTCCGCCACATGTTATTGTGTTATTTACAAAGAATTCATATCTGAGAGTTAAGATTGGACATGAGACAATTTATATGATGGAAGTATTAATCAACAAAATATTTACATGGTAAAAAATAATGTGAAGTAAAACTTGTGCAGATAAAAAGTTACGTGAGGTTAGGAACTGCAGAACATGAAAATTTACGTTAAATTTAAATTTTACAGCAAAGAAAATTACTGAAGCAAAAATTGTGAAATATAGAAAAAGCGCATGAGGTGAAAAATTGCAAAGCTAACAAAATTACACGAAGTTAATATTTGCCACACTTTATCACCGATTCAAACAAAGAATTTACCTAATATTAAATTATGCCACATTTTATCAACGATTCAAACAAAGAATTAACATTCATTATGTTAAATGATGCCTTAATTCAAGTGACTGGTTACATATAGCCATTAGCTTTGAGAGTTTATATCGTGAACTGTCCCCAGCTTATCCCAAACAAAACACATGATAAATAAACATAAAATGCATCCAGCGTTGCGAGAAAAATGTCTCGGTGATGTGATGATGACATGATGATAATAACGCCCTAAGGGGTGACATTTTTAATCCCCCCGTACCTCAGTCCACGATATATGATTTCTATCGCAGTTTCCACGGTCTTTTCCCAGAGTGGAACAACGTTAGGTTAAATTAACTGCCGTAAATGAACTATTAGCAATGTATGAGGAGTTAAGGAGTGTTATAATGTAACACTTAAGTATAAGCATCCAGAAACCGCATTCATAATTTGATAAACAAAAGATGAGTCCTGACTGTTCGAATCAGTTAACGATTAAAATCTTAACATGAACTGTGAATTTACAAGCAATAAAACAAATTTACACCACGTGTTGGCGTCGGTCAAAAATTCACATATTTCCGCTTGGAAAAAACCGCAAGAATTAGCTACGCTTGTTGGGGAAAACTGTGGCATTGCAATCAGTACGATTAACTTTCTTTAAACAAACCAAAAGTGACGCTTCTGACCCCTCCAGCCACTAAATCAAGTTCTACCAACCCTTTCAACAGAAATTCCGTAGGAGAGCTACCAACTACCCAAAAAGCAACAAACGTGCACATAGTTGCCTATGTTTAACGATTTTCTTGTTTGATTTTTTTTTTAATTCAAATTATTCAAATGCGATTTCGTGCCGTTTCAGCGCGAAATTTTTAGTTCAAATCTGGTCACCACAATATTGTCATGGAAACTGATAAATACAATGAAAATTCACTAGTCGCGTTAAATGTTAACATTAAAAATATTGGACTGCTACAAAATACAGGAGTTTATACAGTTTCAACATCTCTATCCGTTTTTAAAATTTAAGGCCGTAGAGTTAGATCTGGAACACCTGTCTATTATTCTCGGCCTTAAATTTTGGTAACTTTTGAGAGGAAGTGTTTTATGCAGTAACTTAAAACCGTCGTCTTAAAAATTTCTAAACTTTAAACCTTGAAGCTCAAATCTTAACCCTGATTAAAATAATTTATTTGGGTGTAGGCCCATTTCCTTGGAAGTGGAGAACTAAAGTGCATGTGGGAATTAAATAATGAAATGCCCCGTATATTTTAGTACATTTTAATACTTATATTGAATTTTGAAACTATTGATAGGGCAGATAAAACTTGGTTTCATTAATTAAACTAAGAATCGAAAACCTCCAAAATCTCACCTAAAACATGCGCATCGCGAACTCTGAGAGTCGAACCCGGAAACGGAGGAAACGTTATACCTATTAATTTTCATAAAAACTTTGGGTAATTTATCTGAAGAGCTCCCCCGTCGACCTAAAAGCTGACACGAGGCCGAGAGTTCCGCTCGAAAACGCAAACATCTATTAACGCTAAAAATTCTTTCAACCCCGAGTGCTGTACGTTCACACCAAACGCATCGGATTAACTCGAAAATTTTTCGACTTTATGGGCGTTTTTACCTTGCATCACCTGGTTCCCATGGCGTCATCTTTTTCGTTTTGTCATAGGGGGCGTTGTAGCACGAGCAGAGTTTGGGGCTCCTGGTCGTGGCTGTTCTCCTACTCACGAAGGTGATTCTCTCTATCGCAAGCACTGCCGCACAGTACTTTTCTTTTATGGACATGCCGTACAAGCAGGCCGTTACGGTCGCAAACTCGCGATTGGGTCCCGGCTATCGCGAAGTCAACAGCGTCATGTCATCTCGACCCCCCTGACTTCTATAAAAAGCCTGCATCCTTAGTGCAGATGGCGCGATAAATCCCGCCAGCTCGACTAGGAACCGCGCTCTCCGCTTCTGACACGTACTTCGGTGTTATTTAACCTCAATTCCATTTAAATGTTCAATTTCTATGACTCTGATATTAAAGTACATCCGAACAAGTGTTAAAATTTCAAAGACCAATAACATTTAAATTCGCCATACACTCTTGTGAGATTTGAAACAACAAAGAATTCTTATCTGAGATTAAGATTGGACATCAGACAATTTTATGATGGAAGCATCAATCAACAAAATATTTACAAAACAAAAACTAGCAAAGATTTATATAACAGTCTGGTGTGACGTAAAACTGGTGCAGATAAAAAGTTACATAAGGTCAGGAACTCCAGAGCATGAAAATGTATGTTCGGTTTTTAAATTATACACCAAAGAAAATTACTGAAGTTAAAACTCAGTCGTTTAGAGAAAAATTTCATGAGGCGAAAATTTGCAAAGCTAACATGAGGTTTATATTTTATGTTCATCGTTATTGGTTAATTTTTGAAAGTGAAGTTATTCAGCTGCATAAGTTCTATAAGATTTTACAGTTCAAACATGTGTTCGATTTGAAAATGCGCTTTCTACTTGGTCGCTGCCAGAACAAAGAACTAGAAAGATGCTAAATTATGCCACAGTTTATCAATGATTCAAACAAAGAGTTTACATTATGTTAAATTATGCCACACTTTATCGACGATTCAATCGAAGAATTTACGTTATGTTAAATGATGCCTTGTTCCAAGTGATTGGTTACTTAAAACAATTAGCTTTGAGAGTGTATATCGTGACCTGTTTATCTCAAACAAAACACATGATAAATAAACAACACAAAATGTCTCCGGCGTTGCGAGGAAAGCTTCTCGATGATAACTGTCTAAAGGGAAAAATTTATAATCTCCCGTACCTCAGTCCACGATATTATGAATTCTACCGTATTTTCACGGTCCTTTTCCCAGAGTGGGATAACATTAGGTGAATTTTAACTGCCGTAAAAGAAGTATTAGCAATCTTGTGTGAGGAATTAAGAAGTGTTATAATATAACACTTTAGTATAAGCATCCAGAAACGTTATTCATAATTAGGTAAACAAAGGCAATTCCTGACTAAGTGAATTTCATGAAATCTCCTAGCAAGTGTTTATCTAAACAAATTCCTGATTGTTAAATTGTGTTAGAACTAGTGAACGATTAAACTCCTAACATGACCTGTGAATTTATAAACAATAAGACAAATTTTCACACGTGTTAGCGTCGGTTGAAAATTCGCCTATTTCGGCTTGAAAAGCCGCAAGAATTAGCAACGCGTGTTGGAGAAACTGTGGCGTCGTCGTCGTTACGATTAGTTGTCGTTAAACAAAGGCTTCCTCCCTTTTATTAATTACCAAACCAACTAAACTTACCCTGGCTAACTTACCACGTCGATTGCACTCACAATAACACATCCAAAGTGAAGCCTTTCACCTCTCTACCAAGCCTCTAACTAAAATTCCAAGCAGAACTATCCACTACCTGAAAAGCGGTAACGTGCACATGGTTACCTATTTTTAACAATTTTTTTTTTGCAAATTCAAATTATTCAAATGTGATTTCGCGCCGCTGTTAATTTTTTTTATCGCGAAATTTTAATTCAAATTCGGTCACCACAATACTACATTAGATTTATAGTTGAAAGGAACTAATATAACTTTTTTGTTAAATAAGCACGTTTAAAACTAAACTTTAAAAAGCCCTAACATGAACCCGAACTTTTATTTACATACTTCAGTGTAACTTTAATTCATTAGAGTTGAAATTTTTGGTTTTACGTTACTGTGATGGAAGAATATATTCTCGCTTCCCCGGATGACACTTCTGATTTATCTTCATAAAACACTCATCTTAAGTTTTAAGTGTTTTGTGCATGAAGAAAGTAATATAATGTTACGAAAGAAACCCATACGCCGCCCCGGTGCAACGCCAATGAGTTCTAGTATGCACGGCAATGATGACTCATCGTCGATGACGACGCTGGGCAATCCAGAAAGACCTCGACTGCGGAACTTCTAGAAGGGAAGTATGGCTTTAAATAGAAGCTACTTCCGGGGTTATTATGATTCAGTCGAGTCCAGTCCAGTCCAGCGAATGTTGAGAAAAGCCAGTCAACTTACGCCGGAATTATTTTCTACATAATCGCTGTGTAATTAGTCGTATAAATTTGAGTTAGTCATCGTAATAATAATTTTAACAACATTTTGATATTTTTACAAATTTATGTCTCTTCAAAGACGACTAAAGATCAGTACTCGAAGATCATTATCTCTCAATTCCAAACCAAGAACATGTAAAATATTTAAAAATGGTGTTAAAAGGTACAATCATTGTTCAACATTTTTAAAAAGTATACATCGATCTGTACTGAAAACACTTAAGAGTTCTTGAATTTAAATGTCGTTGAATCACTGCCAGTCCGAAAATGCAAATATATTATTTGTTTCGCCTCAAGTTAGTTATTATCCATTCTACCTCCACGATATTAATTTTTAATGTTGAAATTAAAAAAACTAAGCTGTAAAATTCTAAGCTGCTAAGGCAGAAGGCACTAGAATTAAACTGTCAAGTTATCATTTTGATGTGAAAACAAATTCAAAGATTGATAAGAACAACCTTTATTTTTAAGGTGACACATTGAAATCTCCAAACATTATTAATTAAGAGTTAAAGAACACTTTTTAGTTTAAACATTTTTGAATAAAATTTCTTTATTATTATAATAAATAGATTTCTAGTTTTATGATAACTTCATAATTCCTTTTTTTTATGCGTTCTATTTATTTTATGTATTATATCATGTGAAGTTATGATAGTTTCATTTCCATTCATGATTGATCGTCGTCATCAATTTGATACCATGGTTGGATATTACAGATTCCTACGTTGTTTGTAGATCGCTATAAGCTGTCTTTGTTTTTCGATTCTTATTGTCAACAATTTTAATTTTTATCGCAACTTTTACATAAAAAATTAAAAAATAAAATAATGTCTGCAAACGACTCATTGAAAAGAAAAAGTGACGTAATGGTGGAGTGTGTAAACGAAGAGTTACAAGAACCAAATTCAAAACAAATCAAAATTGACGATGCAGTACATAACCTAGAAAACTCACTTTCAAACAATGATTCAACCAAACATGAAACATCAAAGGAAAGCCTTACCGACGATTTGGGGTCCATCGCTTGCTGCTTGACCGTCAAATTCCATGACGACACCACAGCAGACATGTATAAAGCGAAATTCTTGGAATTTTTAAACACCTTCAAAGAGTTCCGAATTGACAATGAAAGCGACTATTTTATCCGCGTTTACAAAGACGAGAATGCACTTGATTACCCAGAAAAAACCATCGGAGAGTCCGATATTCAACCAGCATCAACAAAAAAACGAAAGAAACATTCTAAAGCCAAAAAAGAGCTATTCGTAGTGGACGCAACTCCCTCAGACAACTCCAATTCAGTCGATTTGAGATACACAACAAAATTCACGATCAACACGGAAACAGAAGTTGAGGAAATTGTTAACCAAAGCTCAAAAGGAGGTTGTTTCAATTGCGGCGAAAGGCATCCTTTGAAAGATTGTCCGCTACCAAAAGACCACGCAAAAATTGCGCTGGCGAGACAAAGATTCAAGTTTCAAGCGAAGTCGGGGTAATTGTGTAATTTTTGTTTACAGTAGTGTGTTTATTTTTTGGATTTCAGGCGCTATCATTTGGATGATCAAAGGTTTAGCCATCTTGAACCAGGGAAAATTTCCGCTGAGTTGCGAAAAGCTCTTGGGTTGCAGAAAAATGAAACTCCGCATTTTGTGTACTTGATGCGGAGATTGGGGTATCCCCCTGGGTGGTTAGAAGAAGCTAAATTTGTGCATTCCAACCTTGACATGTTCGATATTGACGGCAAGCATGTGAAGAGTTGTGTTGTCAAAAAGGCGGGGTTAGATGAAAGCAGAATTGTAGATTATCCAGGTTTCAATGTGCCATTGCAGAAAGGAATGAAAGATGTGAGTACATCGCAAATGATGGGATATGATGATATGAATTACCAGCTTAGCCACCTGAATTTTTTTTATAGGTGGTATTTATAGAGCACAACTAGTTCACCCTTTTTTACTTCTTATGTTAAAATTTTTAGTTTCAATGTAAATGCGCAGAAAAATGTTTAAATTTTTATGACATCTTTGTATTGGTCTTTAAATCAGTTGACCTAAATAGTTTGTTTTGGAAGAAACATCCTGGTATCAATAGGAGATTATAAAATTAATTGTTGAAGGCTATTGTGATTAAACTCTCATATCAAAAAAGTTATTTAAAAAAGAGTTGAGAATTTATATGTAATTTGACATTATTAAAAAAAAAGTTTTTGAAAAATATTAAAATTATCTTCAATTGTTGAGAAAAAACTCTGTAAATTGTAATTTTTAGAACAAAAGATCCATAGTTATGTAGGCAGAACTTCTCTCGCCATTGGGGTGCAGTGGAAAAAGGCCAGTTTCTCCTAAACAAATAAAAATAACCGAAGTTGTATCTGCAACTTTTATATTTTTCTATGATGACGCCTATATGTAAAATGAAAATATGGGTAGATTAATAAAATCCACGTGCAGACGGATATTGTTTTATACACTTTAAATAGGATTTACTTAGCAAACTTTTGAGGTGACATCATCAACAGTTTGGTAGGGATGAATAGACAAATTTGAATTAATAATTTGTCAGGTTGAGAGCTCAGAGCAATTGGAGTAGTATTTTCTAAGATAAATTATAATACATATGTACTTTGTGGTATAATTTTGAATTTGTTTCTAAAATCTACGTATGCAGAGCTTAAAAATCGGGATGCATTGATATACCACAAGTATGAACGTATAATATTTTGCGGATTTTAAATAGTATATATTTAGCAAAATTGTGTGATGACGTAATAAAGTATGTGGAGGTGATAATCAGGTTTTAAAACAGTGGCTTTTGTATTTTCTAAGATAAGTTTTGAAATGTTCTTGTTCAATTTCGAATTTCTTACCAAAAATCTGGATGTCTAAAGTAAAAAATTTGTCGAAGTTTATTTCAACACAACTTCTCTCGCCGCTTCTTTGAAAAATTATAAACATATTTTGCGATTTTTCAATTCGCAATTTTTCGAGTTTTTAAGTTATAATTGTTTAGTTTTCAATTTTCCAACTTTCGTATTTTTCAGATTTTAGAATTAGGAATTTTTGGATTTAAAATTTCTCGAGTTTTCAATTTTTAACTATTGAATTCCTTGATTGTTTCGTTTTTCATTTATTCAAATTTTCTATTTGCAATTTTTCCTTTCGGTTTTTTATTTTCATTATTTTTTTGTTCCTTAATTTTTTCAATTTACAATTTTTCGAGTTTTTAAGTTTTAATTGTTTAGTTTTCAATTTTCCAACTTTCGTATTTTTCAATTTTTAACTATTGAATTTCTCGATTGTTTCGTTTTTCGTTTCTTAAAATTTTCGATTTGCAATTTTTCCTTTCGGTTTTTTATTTTCTTTATTTTTACAATTTGTTTAATTCTTCGTTTCTTCAGTTTTGCGATTTTCAGTTTTTTAATTTTTCATTATTTTTTTGTTCCTTCATTTTTTCAATTTTTAGAATTAGCAGTTTTTGGATTTAAAATTTCTCGAGTTTTCAATTTTTAACTATAGAATTTCTCGATTGTTTCGTTTTTCATTTCTTCAAATTTTCGATTTGCAATTTTTCCTTTCGGCTTTTTATTTTCATTATTTTTTTGTTCCTTCATTTTTTCAATTTACAATTTTTCGAGTTTTTCAGTTTTAATTGTTTAGTTTTCAATTTTCCAACTTTCGTATTTTTCAATTTTTAGAATTAGCAATTTTTGGATTTAAAATTTCTCGAGTTTTCAATTTTTAACTATTGAATTTATCGATTGTTTGGTTTTTCATTTCTTCAAATTTTCGATTTGCAATTTTTCCTTTCGGTTTTTTATTTTATTTATTTTTACAATTTGTTTAATTCTTCGTTTCTGCGGTTTTGCGATTTTCAGTTTTTTAATTTTTCATTATTTTTTTGGTCCTTCATTTTTTTCAATTTTTAAAATTAGCAATTTTTGGATTTAAAATTTCTCGAGTTTTCAATTTTTAACTATTGAATTTCTCGATTGTTTCGTTTTTCATTTCTTCAAATTTTCGATTTGCAATTTTTCCTTTCGGTTTTTTATTTTCTTTATTTTTACAATTTTTCGAATTTTAATGTTCCCATTTTGTTTTTGTTTTCAGTTCAATTTTTTTAATTCTTCGTGTGTTCAGTTTTTCAATTTTCCGACTTTTGTATTTTTCAGTTTTTAGAATTAGCAATTTTTGGATTAAAATTTCTCGAGTTTTCAATTTTTAACTACATATTTAATTAATTTCTCGATTGTTTCATTTTTCATTTCTTCAGATTTTCGATTTGCAATTTTTCCTTTCGGTTTTTTTTTCTTTTTGATTTTTAAATTTTTTCAAATTTTAATGTTCCCATTTTGTTTTTGTTTTTCAGTTTCAATTTTCTTAATTCTTTGTTTCTTCAGTTTTGCGATTTTCAGTTTTTCAATTTTTCATTATTGTTTGTTTCTTCAGTTTTTCAATTTACAATTTTTCGAGTTTTCAAGTTTTAATTGTTTAGTTTTCAAATTTCCAACTTTCGTATTTTTCAGTTTTTAGAATTAGCCATTTTTGGATTTAAAATTTCTCGAGTTTTCAATTTTTAACTGTTGAATTTCTAGATTGTTTCGTTTTTCATTTCTTCACATTTTCGATTAGCAATTTTTCCTTTCAGTTTTTTATTTTCTTTACTTTTACAATTTTTCGAATTTTAATGTTCCCTTTTTGTTTTTGTTTTTCAGTTTCATTTTTTTTCATTTTTCGTTTCTTCAGTTTTGCGATTTTCAGTTTTTAAATTTTTCATTATTTTTTTGTTTCTTCAGTTTTTCAATGTCGCAATTTTTCGAGTTTTTAAGTTTTAATTGTTTAGTTTTCAAATTTCCAACTTTCGTATTTTTCAATTTTTAGAATTAGAAATTTTTGGATTCAAAATTCCTCGAGTTTTCAATTTTTAACTATTGAATTCCTCGATTGTTTCGTTTTTCATTTATTCAAATTTTCGATTTGCAATTTTTCCTTTCGGTTTTTTATTTTCATTATTTTTTTTTGTTCCTTCATTTTTTCAATTTACAATTTTTCGAGTTTTTAAGTTTTAATTGTTTAGTTTTCAATTTTCCAACTTTCGTATTTTTCAGTTTTTAGAATTAGCAATTTTTGGATTTAAAATTTCTCGAGTTTTCAATTTTTAACTGTTGAATTTCTAGATTGTTTCGTTTTTCATTTCTTCACATTTTCGATTAGCAATTTTTCCTTTCAGTTTTTTATTTTCTTTACTTTTACAATTTTTCGAATTTTAATGTTCCCTTTTTGTTTTTGTTTTTCAGTTTCATTTTTTTTCATTTTTCGTTTCTTCAGTTTTGCGATTTTCAGTTTTTAAATTTTTCATTATTTTTTTGTTTCTTCAGTTTTTCAATGTCGCAATTTTTCGAGTTTTTAAGTTTTAATTGTTTAGTTTTCAAATTTCCAACTTTCGTATTTTTGAATTTTTAGAATTGTCGATTTTTCGATTTAAAATTTTTCGAGTTTTCAATTTTTAACTATTGAATTTCTCGATTGTTTCGTTTTCTATTTCTTCAAATTTTCGATTTGCAATTTTTCCTTTCGGTTTTTTCTTTTCTTTATTTTTACATTTTTTCGAATTTTATTGTTCCCATTTTGTTTTTTCAATTTTCTTAATTCTTCTTTTCTTCAATTTTGCGATTTTCAGTTTTTCAATTCTTCATTATTTTTTTTGTTTCTTCAGTTTTTCAATTTACAATTTTTCGAGTTTTTAAATTTTAATTGTTTAGTGGTCAATTTTCCGACTTTCGTATTTTTCAATTTTTAGAATTAGCAATTTTTGGATTTAAAATTTCTCGAGTTTTCAATTTTTAACTATTTAATTAATTTCTGGATTGTTTCATTTTTAATTTCTTCATATTTTCGATTTGCAATTTCTCCTTTCGGTTTTTTATTTTCTTTATTTTTACTGTTTCCTTTTTTCAGTTTAAATTTTTTAAATTCTTCGTTTCTTCAGTTTTGCGATTTTCAGTTTTTCAATTTTTCATTATTGTTTGTTTCTTCAGTTTTTCAATTTACGATTTTTCGAGTTTTCAAGTTTTAATTGTTTAGTTTTCAAATTTCCAACTTTCGTATTTTTCAGTTTTTAGAATTAGTCAGTTTTGGATTTAAAATTTCTCGAGTTTTCAATTTTTAACTGTTGAATTTCTAGATTGTTTCGTTTTTCATTTCTTCACATTTTCGATTAGCAATTTTTCCTTTCAGTTTTTTATTTTCTTTACTTTTACAATTTTTCGAATTTTAATGTTCCCTTTTTGTTTTTGTTTTTCAGTTTCATTTTTTTTCATTTTTCGTTTCTTCAGTTTTGCGATTTTCAGTTTTTAAATTTTTCATTATTTTTTTGTTTCTTCAGTTTTTCAATTTCGCAGTTTTGAAGTTTTAATTGTTTAGTTTTCAATTTTCCAAGTTTCGTATTTTTTAATTTTTAAATTTAAAATTTCTCGAGTTTTCAATTTTTAACTAATCAATTTCTCGATTGTTTAATATGTATTTCATTTCTTCAGATTTTCCCATTTTGTTTTTGTTTCAGTTTCAATTTTTTTAATTCTTCGTTTCTTTAGTTTTGCGACTTTCAATTGTTCATTATTTTTTGTTTCTTCAGTTTTTCAATTTGCAATTTTTTGAGTTTTTAATTTAAGTTTTAATTGTTTAGTTTTCAATTTTCCGACTTTCGTATTTTGAATTTTTAGAATTAGCGATTTTTCGATTTAAAATTTTTCGAGTTTTCAATTTTTAACTATTGAATTTCTCGATTGTTTTGTTTTTTATTTCTTCATATTTTCGATTTGCAATTTTTCCTTTCGGTTTTTTATTTTCTTTATTTTTACAATTTTTCAAATTTTAATGTTTCCATTTTGTTTTTCAGTTTCAATTTTTTTAATTCAATTTCTTCAGTTTTGCGATTTTCAATTTTTCAGTTTTTCATTATTGTCTGTATTTCTTCAATTTTACGATATGTAAGTCTTCTACTTTTCATTTTTAATTTTTTCAATTTTTCGATTCTTCAATTGTTCATTTACTTATTCAATTTTTCGGTTTTTCAATGTTTTAGATTTTATAATTCTTTTTTTCAATATGAAATTTTACAATTCTTCCATTTTTATTTTTTCAGTGTTTCAACTTTAAGATTTTCTCATTTTTCGTTTTTTAATTTTAGATTTTTCAGTTTCTCGATTTTTGAATTTTTCGTTTCTTCAATTTTTGACTTGCAAGTATGCAGTAGTAATTGTAATATTTACAATTTAAAAAAAATCGCCTTTTCAGTTTTACAGTTTTAGAATTTTTCCATTTTTCAATGTTTGGATCGTAGAAATCATTTTTTCGTTTTTGCAGTTTGATGATTTTTCAATTTTTTCCGATTTTTTAGTTTTTTGATTTTTCAACTTTTCGTATCAAAAAAGTGGAAATATTGCAAAATTGTAAAAATGAAAAATCAAAAATGAAATTACGAAAAAGTATAAAACAAAAACTTTGAAAAATCTAAGAATTTGAAATCAAGAATTTGTAAACTTGAAAAATCGATTGAAAATTGAGAAACTTCAAAATCGAAAAAGAACTAAATCGAAAAAACGAAATATTGAAAATTAAACAAATCGAAAATCGGTTAATTAACAAAACCAAAAATTGCAAAATTGAAAAATTTTAAAATCGAGGAATTGAAAAATTAAAGATTGAAAATTTGAAAAATTGAATAATCCAAAAAATTATAAAATCGAAAAATACGTCGAAAAAATAAAGGGAAAGAAAAATGAAAAATTGTGACATAAAATCGAGAAAATGAAAATTAAAAAATCGGAAAAAAGAAAAATAAAAATCAAGAACTTTAGAGAAAATTAAGGACACGGAAAATTGAAAAATAGATAAATTAAGAATTGACAAACTAAAAACTCGAAAAATGAAAAATTGTAATATCAAAAATTGGAAAATTGAAGAAACGAAAAATTGAAAAAGCTGAATAAATGAAACATAGAAATCGAAATAGAAAAATTGAAAATATAAAGAAAATGAAAAAATGAAAAATTGTTATATTAAAAAATTCGTCGAAGGTAAATAATTCCAGATTTTTCGAAAAATTGTAAGAGTTGACTTTGCGAATTATATTTTTTATGTTCGCCTTTTAGTTAAAATAAAGAAAAAGAAGCATGGTACGCGTTTGTTTCAAGTGAGTTTTCATTTACAAAATTTTGCGATGACGTCCTCAACATTTTTGCAAGGACACGTGTAACAATTTGCATCGATGCAGTGTAATACTAATAACAGTACTGTACTTCTTTTAAGTCACCCTGTATAACTAATTCTAAAATCTATAAGTGTATTGATAAACCAGAATTATTATAAAGTCATTTCACAATTTTACATATTTCAGGGCCGGTTTATCAATGCTCAGTTAAAAGTGTCTGTTAAGTAACTGTCAGATAAGGGTAACTATCAGTTAACGGAGGTAAAGTGTTTATCAATGCACGATGTTTCTTCCAGTTTCGTAGCTCGAAGTTTAGCTGTTACTCTCTTAAGTTGGTAACGCTCACCCCACTGGAAATGAGTTGTGATTGGTCAGTTCAAAACTACCCGGACCTTGAAAGTTCCATCAGATTCGATCCGCATTCGGTATTCAACGATAGTATATCGCGTTTCACGTGATCAATCATGAAAAAGCAAAATTTAACATTAGAAAGAAAGTATTGGAAATTAAAAATGAAACAAGTAGGTACACCTATAAATAAATACAGAGAGATCGAAAAAGAAATTAGTCAAAGTTGGCCATGCACGAAAAGGCTTTTGTCTTAGTTTAAAATAATTTTTGATTAATCATCATGTTGACAAAAGTAATTTGCACTGTTATCAAACGAAATTAAAGCTTTTTTGTTATTAGAATCTTCAGAAATGGGATAAATTTTAGACCAAATTGGAAAACGGTGATTTTAATTCATTCTTATGTGTTTTAAAAGTAGGCGTCATAATTCTAATTTTAAACTGTCAATTTGACATTTAATAAAAAAATTAAATTACCCTACCACCGTGATTACGACAAACGGTTTGTCGTGCATGGCCTACTTCGATTAAGTTCTTTTTCGATCTCGCGGTATTATTAGATAGGTTTTTAATTTTTGGTACCCACATTAGATCTGGAAAATAATCAGCTAATAATAAGTGTTTTTCTCATCTTTTCTCTGTCAATTTGTTGCACAACATAAGTCCTCATCAAAATATTGTTAAATTCATAACAGATTTATTTGGATTTGTTAGGTTATGTTGCCACTAACTGGTGGATAACGTTTTAACTGACAGTTTGAACTGTCAGTTAATTTATCAGGCACTTTGACCACCAGTTTTGAGCTACCGGGTAATGATAAACAGGTTAACTCACAGACAAGCTTTAACTGCCAGTTACTTTAACTTAACTGCGCATTGATAAACCGGCCCTCAGAGAGGCAAATTTTGAGATGATGTCATACATTTTTTGAAACGGTATAAATAATTTACGATAGGTAACCTTAAAACATTTGCAAGATCTCAGAGCATTCGATTTTGCAATTTCAAGGTTAAATTGCAAAATGTTGTAGAATTTTGATTTTTTTCGAAAAATCTGGATGTCTAGGGGTAAAACTGAACACGGATTCATAAACCACATGTGAAGAATTATCTTATTTTAAAAAATTGAAATAACATTTATTAATGTAAATTTTGAGATGATGTCATCCTATTGTTGCTTGGGATGTTTATCTAGATTTTGGTTAGCGTTTTACCATCTATATAATATTCTGAATACACATAAAATTTGACAGCAATTGGTCTAGTAGTTTCGAAGATTGTCTGTCTAATAAAAATTCGGACAGATGGCAGACAGACAGACGGAAACGAGTACATACGCAAAGGGTCATGAAACGTCGAGAAAAATAAAGTACCCAGATTGCAACAGTTTTTAGCTTACGCTCGGAAAGTAAAAAACAATTTATAAATTTTAAATACGATTGACCGACCATAATTTTGCGACTTCAATCAAACCAGTAATAAATTAGCCGTTTGTCAAATGCGTAGGTTATGCTCAAGAAGTAAACATTTTCCAAAAGTACAGGTGCCTTTTTTGTCTTTAAAATTATTTTTACTCGATGACAGTGTTATTTTTAGAAAGAAAACTTCAACTTTTTTTTATTATTAAAAATAGTCAGTTGTTCTTTTGCCCTAATGTCTACTATTTATTCATTACATCTCTAGCTTTGAAATGTTCAAATTGATCACTTATGGCCTTGTACTTTTGATAAAGTTGGCCTCTGCTGTTAAAGTTCTCTCAACTTAAGACATCTAATTAAACTTTGAGATATATTTGATTTTATGATTTCATGCATTTTTCCTAAAGTAGAGCATCGACGTATTGTTACGTTGATCCCTAATTGAAAATCGGCGTGGGTAAAACTCAACAATTTATTTCTAGTTACTCGAATTGACACGACTAACTAGACCATCGCCGCACATACTAGAAAACCCATAGGCGTCGTACCGGGCCCGCGTATGGGTTTATTTCGTAACAGTATTTATTGAAAAGAACAATTGATGTTTGTAATTTTGTTTCCCGAATCAACCTAATATTATTTAGTTTAGAATGTCATACTAAGAACTATCTAAATATTTTAAACATATTTTTTGAAATTTCGAGGTAAACCCCACTGAATTATTGTTTGATGTTGATATTTGGTCATCTTGCCCGAAATTTTTTTGGAAACAACTGTATTATTACGTATGTATGCGATAAAACCATAGTGTTTTTTTTTATAATCATGTTCTTATTTAGTACAGTAGTTACATTAAATTTAGTAGTAAAATATATTATACTTTAATATTGATATGTTGATGTAAAATTTTTCAGGATTACCGAATATATCGAGTCCCACCTTACTCCGACAATTTTAGTAAGCAGGCAATGATATGTTTCTTTGAAAAAGAATGTCTACGAGATGAAGATAATTTGGAGACGTGTGACATAAACATCGAGCGCGAGCCAGATCGTTTGACTATAAAACACAAACAAATTACGGAAATAAAAGCGAGTGCAGGAAGAAATTCGCCATCTTTAGTTGATTTAGAACAGCAGAAACGCCAGTTACTGGAAGAACTTAATGAAGAGCCCACGGACGAAAGAAAGGATTCTGATAGTGACGCAGACAAAGATTTTCTGGCGATTAAAACCAGCTGTTTTGGTACACCTTTATTGAAAAGTAGTTCGCCATATTCCAGACTGCCTAACCCGGATAACTTTTCCAAGGACGTCAGTCCTGTTATTAATTTTGAGAATTTGCCGAATTCTACCGGCAAATATGAGCAGTTGACGGACGTTTTGCAAAAAGTTAGAACTACGTTGAAAAAGGTGCAAAATTGTAGTACCTGATGGGTATGAACATGGTACAAAGTGTTTTGTATATAATTATCACTTGATCTTATGAAGTTTTATATGTAGTAATTTAATTCTTCTGACAAAGTGTACACGTGGTACATTGTCAGTCTAATAAGTTAAGAAAACGCAAATGTAAAGATAAGTTTATTTGTCATTTACAATAAAGTCTTATATAAAACTATGTTACATTGCAAATTATTAACATTTGATCATCTACATTATTGCGTATTGTACATGGTAGTGCAGATGATCAAAGGAATGTGATGTGTTTTTAAGCACAATTTTAACAAATTGTTTCATATTGCAGTGATAACGTTGAGCGTACGATTTTCTTTCAACAACCAATACCAATTTGCTTTAAACTCAACTTTTTAAGTAAATCCCGTGATGTAAATAAAAAATTTCACAAATTTTTTTATTGGTCACCAAAACATTACCTTTTACATAGCAATAACAGATTCATCAAATCTCAATTTTTCCTACAGTTATATAGATCTTTTTATGTCAAATGTTGTAATTGCCTAAAATGTGTAAAAGTTACTCGATCTAGGACATAGCAGAGGGAGGACTCGGTGGAGCTCCATTGTTGTCCTACAAGTTTCCTCAATACTTAACAAACACACCTCTCCTTATACTTACGCCGTTGTTGCCAGGCTTAACATCTTCGCTTAATCTTTGAGTTCGCGGTCGGAAAAAATACAGAAAGAACGCAGCAACTAAAAAACAAGTCATCATGAGTATGCTCGTCTCAGGGTTTTGTCTCTGAAATCCCTCATCAAAGCACTCGTTTTCGACACAGTTACTTTGGGAGTTTCGGATCTGTAAGAATGGCGATAAAACAAAGACGTGTCATTTTCCGCTACATACGACATTCAAGAGCCTCCTCATCGCCAGTTCGTGGCCCCAAATGCATTCGCAAAGATCCATATTTTCGTCGCCCATAATTTCATGTATACGTCACCTAAAAATAAAGTATACGTTGTCATCTGTTACGAATTTGTCAGCCTACGCAAATGCACGTACGGGAATATTTAGATACACGCAGTGTAAACAGCGGAAAAAGGAACACCAAAGAAATGTTTTTGGAACTTAAAAGCGAAAACGTTGGTATAAAACGGGTTGTTATTGTTTTGGTGCAAGTTTATGTTGCCATTTCTGTCACAGTTTGACAGAAGGCAATCCTTTCGGGTCGAGCGGCGCGGCGAGGGTGGGGATAAGACGGTTTGTATTGGTGGATTAAATGGGTATGTGGTCCAATGAGAGGGTTACACCAGTTCGTAATAATTACTATTCTAATTATTATTACCATTTTTATTATTTTAATTTTCTGCATATATCTTTTTTTTTATTTTGGTATTTTATTATGACATGAGTCAACACTTGTGTTGACGGAGGTGGTGTAGGTTTCGTAGTACTATAGATTTACGAAGAGCCATAATTTTGAAAGTTACATCGTTTCCCACTTTCGGAGTTATTAATCAAAACTGTCACGCTGGAGCACGCAACAGTTCTTAATAACAACGAAGGGACCACAAAACTTTACCAAGTGTATTTGGATAACTTCACATATTGTTTTTTCTTATATGTACTATAGTGCAATGTTCATTATTAAACTGACTTAATTTCGTGAACTCAATGTATCGCCCTAGGGCGTTAAATAATTTATTAGTAGTTACATCATTGGAATTACAGTTTTACACTATTGTTGGTATAGTCGTTACTGGTGTAATTTACTTCAAAAAACACACACCCATTAAATTTAAAAATCTTAATAAACTTAACAGTAAATTATTCGACATAATATAGTCTTCAATCAATTTAATTTGTATTTTAAAACCCGTAATTAATTGTTTTCAGTTCAAAATCGGACTTTAGTTTAATCTTGGAATTTTGAGTCGCTGTTTCATTTTCAAAGTAAACTGCGAAATTATTGTAGAATTATATTTTATTACTTTAATTATTACTTTAATTAATATACCTAGACATTTTTCTCTCAGATAAATTTAAAAAATTATAAAATTAGATTCTGCGATTTTCGTTTTGTGATATCTGTTAAGCTTTATAAAGTGGCGTAATTAACATCCCCGCAACCCCTACGTCTTTAAATATGAAGTATATTTAAAGCAGATAACTAATGAAAAAAATGTAGACAATTTGAATTACTCAGTATATGCTTAACTTCCACTGTTTATAAACATAAACAGTCGAAGTTATAAACGTACTTCGACGGAATTCGACTACTAGCAAAAACATCAGCGATTAAAAGAAAATGAAATTTGGCTGATTTTGTGTCCTTAACGCAAAGAAAAGGGCTGATTGATTAATTCATATTAAGTTTTTTTTCCCAAAAACTTTCATAAATTTGAAGAAATTCGGCAAAACTGTAAGACGATGGACAAATTTTGACTAACGATTTAGGATGTTTCTTAAATTACATTGTAGAATATTGTTAAACAATGTTGATTTTTTTTTCCAACACGGATTCATAAATCACATATGAAGGAAAATGTTATTTTATAAAATTGAAAGAACATTTTTGTTCGGTAGAATTCTAAGGTGACGTCATATAATTTTTTGGGAAGGCCTTAAACGAACAAATCGGTTTATCATGTTTCCTATAACCTTAAGACGTTTGCATTATTTCAGTACATTCGCTTTTGCAATTTTAACGCTAAATTGTAAAATACAATTTTAAATTTTTTTCCAAAAATATGGATGTCTAGGGTAAAAACTCAACACGGATTCTAAATTACACATAAATGGAGTATGTAGGATAAAATTTAAGAAACATTTGTTCTACAAAATTATAAAATGACGTTATCATTTTTTAGGACGTAAACAAAAAAAATTTGATTAGTGATTTACCACTCTTACGATAATCTTAAAAAACTTTTAAGATTATATATTATTATAGATTAAAAAGTTTTAAAGCATTCGGTTTTACAATTTCAAAGTTAATTTGTAAAATAATTATGATTTTTTACCCAAAAATCTGGATGTCTATTAGGGTGAAAACTCGACACGGATTCATGAATCACACATGCAGGAGTACGCAAAACTATAAAATTAAATATATAATACCAAAAAAAGGAACAAATTACTAGTAAGTAAAATGGTACGTTTTACCCCCTACATTTTGATTTTTAATTTATAATAAGGTACTTTATCATTTTTAATAGTCAACTTAACAAAATCTTCAGAAATCCTCAACTTAAAAAAAAATAACGTTAAAAATGTAGTAAAATGTTAAAAAAATGCATTAAAATAACTTCATGACAAAAATTGAATTTTTGTTTTATAAAAAAGTATGTAGTAAAAAACTTCAACGTCAAAACTGGCCCATTTGCTTAAAAACATGATAAATAAATGAAAAAACAGGTAAAAAAAGTTAAATAGATGAAAAAAAAGTGGGGTGAAACGTACCATTTTACTTTCTACTAATTTCAGTTTAGAAATTTCATCTAAAACGTCCGATAATAATCTTATCTTTACACCGGATTCATTTAGATGAGAATTTGATTTGAAATAATAAACAATGCTCTTGGAATGGCCAAAAATTAGTACCTATTAGGATAAGACTGATTTTGGTAAATGAGATCCTTCTAAAAAAAGTAGAGGGCGGGTGGGCGGGGTTAGTACTGGCTAATCTATGATCGATTTTGGCAAATGACATATCCTCTAAGAAAAGAGAGGGTAGGTGGGCAGGGCTAGTAGCTGCTAAGATAAAACTGATTTCGGCAAATGACTACTAGTCCCGCCCACTTATCCTCTGTTTTCTTAGAAGTTATCTCATTTGCCAAAATCAGTTTTATCGTAGCAGCTACTAGCCCCGCCCACCCACCCTCTCTTTTCTTAGAGGGTATGACATTTGCCAAAATCAGTTGATGTCCCCAGGAATTGATCATGTCATCTTACAATTTTGTTGAATAAATGTTATTTAAATGTTAAAAAGTAGCACAGTCCTGAACTTGTGGTTTATAAATACGCTATTGTGATTTTTCGGCTTTCGGATTCCTCGATTTTTTTTAATTTTTCGATTTCTCAATTTTCTGATGTGTCAATGCTACGATTTCTCAATTTTTGTCCTCTTTCATTTTACGATTTCTAAATATTTCGATTTTTCAAATTTTGACGTTTCTAAATTTTCAGTTTTCCGATTTCTGAAGTATTTTTTTATTTTACCATTTCTCGACTTCCCAAAGTTTCGAGTTTTCACGTCTTTAATTTTTCGATTTCTCAATTTTCCAATTTTTTAATTTCTCAATTTTTTGGATATTTCTTTCAGTTTTGGGATTTTTCTATTTCTCGATTTTTTACATTTTGAATTTTCAATTTTATATTTCGATTTCTCAATTTTTCAACTTTTCGATATTTTAATTGTAATAATATAGTATTTGGTACCTAAATATGAATTAAATCGAGAAAATTGTAAAATCATGTCATTATTGTTTTTGAGGGGCATAAACGAAAAATATTTGATTCATAATTTAGTATGATTACGATAACCTAAAACGTTTCTAAAAGTTCAGAGCAGTTTCAAAGTTAAACTGATTTTTAATTTTGACTTTTTTCCAAAAATCTGGATGTCTAGGATAACATTTCAACAGAGATTCAGAAACCACATGTGCCGGAGTATCTTATTTTTTATAACATTTAAATAATTTGTACTACTGTAAATTTTGGAGATGACGTCAACAAATTGTTGGTAGGGATGATTAGCTAAATATTGATCTTCTACAATCTACACGATATTCGTAATACACATATAAAATTTAACAGTCAGTAATTTCGAAGATTATATGTCTAATAAAAATCCGGACACACGACAGACAGACAGAGAGACAGACGGAAACGGGCAACCTATTGTTTCGTACTGAGTTTAGTTTACGCTCTGAAAATAAAAAGATGCTCTTATTTAATGTATTAGATATTTCGTTTTTTATGTGTTTGTTATAATTTTAGGAATATTTATTGCATTTGTAATTGTAACATCCTGCCAATTTTTATGAAATTTTTTGTGTTATTCGGTAGGTCTGAGAATAGGTCGTAAACTATTTTTTATACCTTAAGTGATAGGGGTGGCCCATCCAAAAAATGTTTTGTGTATTTTTTGGACAACATTTCTTATTTTTATTTTTTTAAGATTTGGCATCAAAAAATACATTGTGACCCTAAATTTTCACCCTTGTACCACCAACCCCTATTTTTTAATAACGATATTAGTATCTTTACTTTCATCCACAGATGCGCAATAGGGTTGCAAGATGGCTGTTGAATATAATAATCATTGTCGTACGATACATTTTTATGTATCATTTATAATTTATTTTAATTGTAATTTATTTATTTATTTTAATTTAATTGTTTATTTAACTACCAAAATATTAACTAGTAATAATTTATATGGCAAAACAACGTTTGCCGGGTCAGCTAGCAATATATAGATATTAGAATTAGAAAGAACTTAGGTCTCTTTATTGATGATGACTTTAAATTTAAATCTCATGTTTCGGACGTCATCAAAAAATGTTATTTGGCACTAAAAATGCTTTATTCTAATTTTCTAATTTTGAACTTTAAACTCAGTTATTTATTTCATATTAACTACATATATGTATACTATCCATTTCTTGACTGAGTTGACAAAAGTCGTCTTCAAAAAATTTAAAATCACTGCTGTCACTTTATCTACGGATTGAGAAAATATGATCATGTATCAACCAAAATTGACGAATTTTGGTGGATGAAGTATAGTATTTCAAAACCATTATTTATCAATTTTTGTTATTTAAAAATCCATCTCCACCGAACTCACGTGAAAAGTTTCACCCAAGATAAAGTATTTTAAACACTAATATACCACTAAAATGCGAGGAATTCAGTTTTTTGTTTTATAGCTACCTATCCTTTAATACTTTTTGGAATTATTTGCGCAATAATTTATCGTTTTTTGTCTAACCAGGCGTATTTCGGAGATGAATTTTTGCATACAGTATTTATTTTTCATGTTTACCTAATCAAGACCCGATTTATAGAAAGCGAAGTTAAAGTTAATTCGCGATTAACTTTTAACTGAGGTCCGTTGCTAGGAAACGTGCATGTTTCAACCAATCACGGGCTCATATTCCACATTTTAATTCTCTGTTAAACTAATCGAGGATTAAATATTTACCTAACTCGCTGTTCTATA